TTGTTGGATCCAACGGCATTTTATTGCTTTTTAAGCATTTTTAGAACGGTTGAGAAAATCACTATCCAGCTTTCATACAACCGGCCCCAGAACACCCAAAAAATGTAATAGTTAAATTCAAATATAATACAAAGTTAAGGAAGTTGTTTATGAATGGAATATTTCAAAGGATGAGTCGATGAGATGATGTCTCCAAGATGAGGTGTAGCCGGGACAATTTCTGGTCTCTTCGCAAACAATGTCTCTAGCAGTCAGTAATGCTAGATTTACACAAGTACTTCGTGCAATTCAATTCAACAATCACAATCGCACTCAGTCTTAATTTTTTTGTGGATCGCCATATGACTTTCTAGGTCATCAGGGAAATCAAACACAATATCACAGATCGAACAAGCCCAACGGACACCAGTAGGAGTGGATTTTGTGAATTCCACTTCCTGACAAACGGCGCATGTGAGTCTCGTGTTTCCACATTCTCTTGCGAGGTGTCTGAGGAATTTTCCGAATGTGTCATACAGCTTGCCGCAGATACCGCATTGATAACGCGTTTTATCGCTTAACTCCCCCACTAAAGATTTCCCCAAATCTTCTGGCTTGGCAATCTTTCTGCCACAAATGCTGCACGAAAGATGCATCTTTTTGTGCTTACGGAGGTTATGCTTAAACGAAAACTTCGCTTCGCAGAAATCACACTCGAATCGTTTTTCTCTTGCATGCATCTTTCGATGCCTCGACAAGTTCCCTGCCAACGAGAATTTCTTCCCACAAGCATCACACGCATAAGATCTTTCCCCAGCGTGTGTTCTTTTATGACACCTTAACCCGCACAAGGTTCGGAACCCTTTCTCGCAAATGTCGCAATTGTACGAGGTGTGCACCGTAATGTCACTAACAGTATGCGTTTTTTTATGTTTCGCTAGGGTTCTAGTGTTTTTATACACTTTGGCGCAAACATCACATGTATGAATTTTTTTGTGGTTTCTCAAACGCGCTTTTTCGAAGCATCTGTAACTACACAAATCACAACCATAACGTTTTACGCCAGTGTGCGTTCTCTTATGCGACACCAAACTGGAAATTCCCGCGAACCTCTTCTCGCAAATATCACATTCATAGGGTTTTTCTCCGGTGTGTACTCGTTTATGAGCAGCAAGGGTATCGGACCTTTTGAAACTCTTTTGACAAACGTCGCATTTATATGGCTTGTTTTCTGAATGAGTTAGTTTGTGTCTTTTTAAATGAGTTAAAAGAATAAATTTTTTGCCACAAACGTCACATTCAAACTCTCTTTCTTTGGAATGACTCTTTTTGTGGGATACTAAAATACCAGATTGTGTGAATCTTTTCTGGCAAACGTCACATTCATATGGTCTTTCCCCCGAATGTATTAGTATATGAACTCGTAGGGTTCTCCTGGCTGCAAATTTCTTGTGACAAACATCACATTCATGTGACCTTTCTCCAGTGTGTGTCGTTTTATGGCTCTTCAATTGGAACGAATCTCTGAACCTCTTGTTACAAACATCACATTCATAAGGTCTGTCTTGTGTGTGTGTTTGTTTATGCGCTATCAAACCACTTCCAGAAGCACATTTGTACGGGCACAAACTGCATTCGTAAGGTTTTTCACCAGTGTGCACTCTTTTATGCACATTTAATTGACTTGATGTTGTAAATCGATTTTTACAAGTTTCACATTCAAAAGGTTTTTCGCCGGTGTGCCATCTTTTATGGTCAGTCAGGATGTTTCGCGAGGCAAATCTTTGCTGGCAAACATCACATTCAAAAGGTTTTTCACCAGTATGCGTTCTTTTATGCCCTTCTAGGTTATGAAGTCTTGCAAACCATTTCTTACAAACATCACATTGATAAGGTTTCTCTCCAGTGTGCACAATCATGTGACTTTTTAAGCTGCTTGCATCTGATAGTTTCTTCTTGCAGACATCACACTGGTGTTGATAGTGCGTTTTTTTATGTCGCTTAAGCATTTGTGGCGTGGAAAATTGCTTCATGCAAACTTCACATTCATAATCTGATGTTGACATAGAATCATCAGAATTAGCAGACATTATTGAGAGCTTACCATATGCTTTCTATAATATATGAACTCACAGGAGGAAACTGAAAATGTGTTCTTTTTTACCACCTACAGCTGACAGAAGCTTCCTCTTGGTAACAGTGAGTATTGCCTGGACCACTAAAAAATTGAAAGAAAAATGCTATCAATTTGAAATTATTTGAAGGGAATGTCCAGCCAGGTTTGCGCAAAGCTTCTGCTCATAACAAATGAGACCCCACTAATTTAAAGATTGCCAAAATTTTGCATGCTTCAGATCTTTCTGCACATTAACTTAATTCATACTCATTTAAAAGCTAAAACCATAGAGAAACCAAGATAGAATACTATTTTGTTTCATGCGAATATGAAGCCTCAAAAAAACAGCAATGTCACATGTGTGACCAGAGAATCACCCACTAATTATTTCCACATTTATTGGTCAAGTAAAAATATTTTTCATTAATGTGTTGAAGAAAGACATTATGCATCTTCAAATCCATTTCACTGAAGGTGGTTCTAAAGTGAAACTAATAATGTTGTGAGGTAATTATAAAAGGATCTTTTAGATCAGATTTTAATTGAGCAATTTGATAAATTTTGACTGGGCCAACCTTAGACAACAATATTTTATTTACCAGTAGCACTTGTCTTCAAAATTATTTGTTATAAGATTGAAACAAATTTGTATCATGAAATATGTAGTTGTTTTCTAAAAATATTCCAATGGAAAAGTCAAGTGAGTAGCAGAACAAAGTCAAAACAAATAATTTTTATAATGTTGAAACTCTCTAACTTGAAGCTCAGACAGTGCTGATAAAGTGTAATCATTTCAAACAGTTAATATTTTGACAGTGCAATTCAGGACAACTATTAAATACAGGGTCAATCCAATACCTAGCAGGAAACAACTCCAGTTAGACAAGACAACGTATGCAGTTCTACACACAACATGCAATTGAAGCTCACTACAACAAAAGATTCTAAATAAACATTCATCCCATAGGCAGACAAGGCGAGCGGGCAAAAATATTTGAATCTAGAAAATCAGAATCTAGAATCTTATCAAATCCTATTCTCAAGCAGTGCTATTAGAGTTCACTGTTATCAAGACGAAAAATGATCATGAAGATGAAGTATGACCTGTTTATATTGCAAATTCCATAGTATCGAAATATCGAATCGTGCTCAGAATTGGCTTAGCCATTTACTCACCGATAAATTACTTTTTATACCGGCAAACCTCCCAGGAAAGTCGACGACCAGTAATGATAAACAAATTTACGATAAATGATCCTTTTAAAATCTATTTGGCACTTTTAACCTCCTTATGAGCTTGATTTAATACAACTAGTTTCTTCGAGCGCCTTCGGCATGTCCGAATCCGAAATCCAAATTCCTGGTGATGTGAAATGGCGGGAAAAGACTGGGACTAACTTGTGAGTTGTTAGGGCGAGTGGCGGGCTCTCAATGAAATTGATTTATTTTGGATGTACCATAACAACTTAAAATCTCTTGAAGTCATATTTTATTTCAGTTTTAAATTTATGTAACATAATCACAAAATTTCTACTGGTTTCATAAAGGGGCCTGGACAGGGGCGGACCGGCCTATACATAATTTACCGGGAACACTAAAAAAGGGGGCGCCATTTTAGAGCTAACATGAGCAACAGTTATTGAAAATGTGTGTGCTGCCATGTCGCACTTAAAATTTGACCGCTACAATGTTGAGTATCAAACTGATACATGATTTAGATCAGATTATCTTTCCTGTGTTTTACTTCAATGGTTTATCATTTCCTCCATAATTTTCTCCAAAATGGGGCGCCAAACGGTATGTAAATCAATATGGGGCGCACCGGGAAATTTTGCGGTTTCCCTGTGGGCCAGTCCGCCCTTGGGCCTGGGGAATCAGAATGGTTTATATTCCCACAACCCTTCCGAGCTCTGATTGGCTAAAATACTATGTGCGCGAAGACTTCCCGCTAAAACATGAAACTTACAGTTAATTAACTATTAAATACAAAGGAGCTTAAACCATTGGTAGATTTAATTTCGTGCGTCGAATTCTTAAAGTAATTTTGAATATTCAATTGTACCCGTTACTTAAAAATGTTAAGTGCAAACGCAATGGGTCGCTGGACAGTAACCGCCGGCGCAATTGGCAGAACACCAGGCATCAGACGCCGTCGGATTAATGGAATAGCATTGTGAGCTTGGAGCTGGGTTGCTTATCGGCGGAGCTGTAGCAGGCGGTGCCATAGCAGGTGATGCAGGTATTTCAGGTTGACTCGAGCAAGGTGTTACTGTCGGGCAAACGACGGGCTTCGGGCAGTTGCAAGGTGGACAGGTGCCCGTACTTGATGTAGTGACAGGATTCGGTGCCGGTGTGCCTGGACCCTGCGGGCTAGAAGATGGCAGGATTTGATATCGGCGCAGTTGACAAACGTCTCAGGTTCATTTTTCTTCCAATTATTCCCTGTAGTATACCACTATTGCATCTGCAGTTAAAACTATAACTTCAGTTAAACATTTAATGAGCTTGAAGGCGCGCAATCGCCTATTTATGAATCCGTAAACAATACTCCCACTGACTGTTTGGCACTGGGGTAAAAAAGGCACAAGTAAATGTGCACTAAACGATATAGAAAATTGGACAAGAGCTTACGGTAAAAAAAGTACATATAACTTGCTTACGAACAACTGTCATATGTTTTCGATAAAATGGGCCAATATTATTTTTGTACGTGCGTGACCTCAGTCGCTTATGACGACTAAGTAATAATACTTTACACACCAGGGGGCCGGTTGTATGAAAGCTGGGATAGCGCTATTCACCGGATAGTGGGTTTTTCAATCGCTTTAAAATCGCCTTTGTTAGAGATAACTTTGACTAAATCTTAGTATTCCTAACTCGAGGATCCTCATTAATAATTGTTGGATCCAACGGCAACGCTGAAATTTTATTGCTTTTCAAGCATTTTTAGAACATTTGAGAAAATCACTATCCAGCTTTCATAAAACCGGCCCCAGAACACCCAAAAAATGTAATAGTTAAATTGAAATATAATATAAAGCTAAGGAAGTTGTTTATGAATGGAATATTTCAAAGGAGTCTCCAAGATGAGGTGTAGCCGGGACAATTCTGGTCTCTTCGCAAACAATGTCCCTAGCAGTCAGTAATGCTAGATTCACACAAGGACTTCGCACAATTCAATTCAACAATCACAATCGCACTCAGTTTTAATTTTTTTGTGGATCGCCATATGACTTTCTAGGTCATCAGGGAAATCAAACACAATATCACAGATCGAACAAGCCCAACGGACACCAGTAGGAGTGGATTTTGTGAATTCCACTTCCTGACAAACGGCGCATGTGAGTCTCGTGTTTCCACATTCTCTTGCGAGGTGTCTAAGGAATTTTCCGAATGTGCCATACAGCTTGCCGCAAATACCGCATTGATAACGCGTTTTATTGCTTAACTCCCCCACTAAAGATTTCCCCAAATCTTCTGGCTTGGCAATCTTTCTGCCACAAATGCTGCACGAAAGATGCATCTTTTTGTGCTTACGGAGGTTATGCTTAAACGAAAACTTCGCTTCGCAGAAATCACACTCGAATCGTTTTTCTCTTGCATGCATCTTTCGATGCCTCGACAAGTTCGCTGCCAACGAGAATTTCTTCCCACAAGCATCACACGCATAAGATCTTTTCCCAACGTGTGTTCTTTTATGACACCTTAACCCGCACGAGGTTCGGAACCCTTTCTCGCAAATGTCGCATTTGTGCGAGGTGCCCACCGTAATGTCACTAACAGTATGCGTTTTTTTATGTTTCGCTAGGGTTCTAGTGTTTTTATATACTTTCGAGCAAACATCACATGTATGAATTTTTTTGTGGTTTCTCAAACGGGCTTTTTCGAAGCACCTGTAACTACACATATCACAACCATAACGTTTTTCGCCAGTGTGCGTTCTCTTATGCGACATCAAAGTGGAAATTGTCGCGAACCTCTTCTGGCAAATATCACATTCATAGGGTTTTTCTCCGGTGTGTACTCGTTTATGAGCAGCAAGGGTATCAGACCTTTTGAAACTCTTTTGACAAACGTCGCATTTATATGGTTTGTTTTCTGAATGAGTTAGTTTGTGTCTTTTTAAATGAGTTAACAGAATAAATTTTTTGCCACAAACGTCACATTCGAACGCTCTTTCTTCGGAATGACTCTTTTTGTGGGATGTTAAAACACCAGATTGTGTGAATCTTTTCAGGCAAACATCACATTCATATGGTCTTTCCCCGGAATGTATTAGTATATGAACTCGTAGGGTTCTCCTGGCTGCAAATTTCTTGTGACAAACATCACATTCATGTAACCTTTCTCCAGTGTGTGTCGTTTTATGGCCCTTCAATTTGAACGAATCTCTGAACCTCTTCTTACAAACATCACATTCATAAGGTCTGTCTTGTGTGTGTATTTGTTTATGCGCTATCAAACCACTTCCAGAAGCACATTTGAACGGGCACAAACTGCATTCGTAAGGTTTTTCACCAGTGTGCACTCTTTTATGCACAATTAATTGACTTGATGTTGTAAATCGATTTTTACAAGTTTCACATTCAAAAGGTTTTTCGCCGGTGTGCCATCTTTTATGGTCAGTCAGGATGTTTCGCGAGGCAAATCTTTGCTGGCAAACATCACATTCAAAAGGTTTTTCACCAGTATGCGTTCTTTTATGCCCTTCTAGGTTATGAAGTCTTGCAAACCATTTCTTACAAACATCACATTGATAAGGTTTCTCTCCAGTGTGCACAATCATGTGTTTTTTTAAGCTCTTTGCATGTGATAGTTTCTTCTTGCAGACGTCACACTGGTGTTGATAGTGCATTTTTTTATGTCGCTTAAGCATTTGTGGCGTGGAAAATTGCTTCATGCAAACTTCACATTCATAATCTGATGTTGACATAGAATCATCAGAATTAGCAGACATTATTGAGAGCTTACCATATGCTTTCTATAATATATGAACTCACAGGAGGAAACTGAAAATGTATTCTTTTTTATCACCTGCAGCTGACAGAAGCTTCCTCTTGGTAAAAGTGAGTATTGCCTGGACCACTAAAAAATTGAATGAAAAATGCTATCAATTCGAAATTATTTGAAGGCAATGTCCAGTCAGGTTTGTGCAAAGGTTCTGCTCACAACAAATGGGACCCCACTACATAATTTAAAGATTGCCAAAATTTTGCATGCTTCAGACCTTTTTGCCCACTAACTTAATTCATACTCATTTAAAAGTTAAAACCATAGAGAAACCAAGATAGAATAAGCCATACTATTTTGTTACATGCAAAATATGAAGCCTGAAAAAAAACAGCAATGTCACGTGTGTGACCAGAGAATCACCCACTAATTATTTCCACATTTATTGGTGAGGTAAAATGATTTTTCATTCATGTGTTGGAGAAAGATGCTTTTCATCTTCAAATCCATTTCACTGAAAGTGGTTCTAAAAGGATCTTTTAGATGAGATTTTAATTGAGCAATTTGATAAATTCTGACTGTGCCAACCCTACACAAAAATATTTTATTTACCAGTAGTGTCTTCAAAATAATTTGTTATAAGATTGTTTGATTAAATGTATTTTGTATCATGAAACATGTAGTTGTCTTCTAAAAATATTCCAATGGAAACGTCAAGTGAATAGCAGAACAAATTCAAAACAAATATTTTTATAATGTTGAAACTCCCTAACTTGAAGCTCAGACAGTGCTGATAATGTGTAAACATTTCAACCAGTTAATATTTTGACAGTGCAATTCAGGACAACTATCAAATACAGGGTCAATCCAATACCTAGCAGGAAACAACTCCAGTTAGACAAGACAACGTATGCAGTTCTACACACAACATGCAATTGAAGCTCACTACAACAAAAGATTCTAAATTAACATTCATCCCATAAACAGACAAGGCGAGCGGGCAAAAATATTTGAATCTAGAAAATCAGAATCTAGAATCTTATCAAATCCTATTCTCAAGCAGTGCTATTAGAGTTCACTGTTATCAAGACGAAAAATGATCATGAAGATGAAGTATGACCTGTTTTATATTGCAAATTTACATAGTAACGAAATATCGAATCGTGCTCAAAATTTGCTTGCCCATTTACTCACCGATAAATTACTTTGACGTCACCAAACCTCCCGGAAAAGTCGACGACCAGTATTGATAAACAAATTTACGATTAATGATCCTTTTAAAATCTATTTGGCACTTTTTAACGTCCTTATGAACTTGGTTTAATACAGCCAATTTCTTCGAGCGCCTTCGGCATGTCCGAATCCGAAATTCAAATTCCAAAATAAATATTCAACGTGATGTGAAATGGCGGGAAAAGACTGGGACCAACTGTGAGGGAGGGCTCTCGGAATGAAATTGATTTATTTCTCTTGAAGTCATATTTCATTTCGGTTTAAATTTATGTAACATAATCACAAAATTTCTACTGGTTTCATAAAGAATAACAAAAAATATAATCGATTAAAGAGGCGGACTGGCCTATACTGGCTTATAAAACTAAAAAAAGAGGGCGCTATTTTACTTTCGTTCTAACACGAGCAACAGTTATTGAAAATGCGTGCGCTGCCATGTTGCGTCTAAAATTCGACCGCTACAATATTGAGTTTCAAACTGATACATGATTTAGATCAGATTATCTTTCCTGTGTTTTACTTCAATGGTTTTATCATTTCCTCCATAATTTTCCCCAAAATGGGGCGCCAAACGGCATGTAAATCAGGGGCGCACCGGGAAATTACCCGGTATCCCTGTGGGCCAGTCCGGGGAATCAGAATGGTTTCTATTCCCACAATCCTTCCGAGCCCTGATTGGCTAAAATACTGGCGATAAAGACTAGAAACTATAAAGTACTTTTCGGCAAAGCAATTATTGTTCTATTCATTCCGTATGGAGAGCACTTTAATATACAGGGGCCGGTTGTATGAAAGCCGGATAGCGCTATCCACCGGATAGTGCTTTTTTCAATCGCTTCAAAATCACCCGTTTTTTGCTACAACTTTGATTAAATCTTAGTATTCCTAAATCGAAGATCCTCTTTAATAATTGTCGCTTCCAAGCTGAAATTTTATCGCTTTTCGAGCATTTTTAGAAAGGTTGAAAAAATCACTATCCGGTGGATAGCGCTATCCGGCTTTCATACAACCGGCCCCAGAAGTTGAAGTTGGTCTACAGAATTGCAGTAAAAAGTAACAAACGAGGTAACAAATACAAATAATGACACGAACAAATATGAAAGGACCTTAATATCTTACAGTTAACTATTAAATACAAAGGAGCTTAAACCATTGGTAAATTCGTGCAACGGATTCTTAAAGTCACTTTGAATATTCAACTGTACCATTACTTGAAAATGTTAAGTGCAAACGCAATGTGTCGCTGGACAGTAACCGCCGGCGCAATTGGCAGAACACCAGGCATCAGACGCCGTCGGATTTATGGAATAGCATTGTGAGCCTTGTGGTGGGTTGCTTGTCGGCGGAGCTGTTGCAGGCGGTGTCGTAGCAGGTGGTGCAGGTATTTCAGGTTGACTCGAGCAAGGTGTTACTGTGGGGCAAACGACGGGCTTCGGGCAGTTGCAAGGTGGGCAGGTGCCCGTACTTGATGTAGTGACAGGATTCGGTGCCGGTGTGCCTGGACCCGGCGGGCTAGAAGATGGCAGGATCTTGATATCGGCGCAGTTGACAAACGTCTCAGGTTCATTTCCCCCCCAATTATTTCCTGTAGTATACCACCATTGCATCACGCAGTGATCACATGATAAGCCCGTGGGTAACCTGAGGGTGATGGTGTAATCACCGGCACCAGAATCGGGCAGTGTCCACTCCTGGTTCCCATTCTCCAACGCTAACATGTTCTTGTCCAGGTCCGCTTGCGTGATCGGTGGATTGACCAATGGTGCCACGCGAAATATGAAATAACCTTTGTGATGCGCTGTTATTTTCACGGTCACTTCAATCAGTTCCCCCTCGGTGTAGGTCTTTACGATGGGTGGATTTTTTGCAAAGACTCCCGGAGAAACGAAACGGGGATTGCTTATGCCATATTCATCGCCACAAGCCCCGCATTTCCCCCCGTGTTTCGACCACTGGACATTTCGGCCACCACAGCTCAATTGATTGTCAGTGTACTCCCTTGGACCAGAAAAACCGTATCGCCAGCGGCTGGCCCGGCTCGGAGGATCTTTCAGGTAGCCATGGCCATCGACCAGACTCAACAACATTGAGAGGGAAAGCAAACTAACCGCTACCGTCTTCATATTCTTGGCTGAAAGATGTCCTTCCTGAAGGTGTCACCTAGCATGACAAAGGAATGGGAAATTGTGAATGTTTGTTTACAAAGGCGAATTCATTTCAGCGATTTTAGGTCATGAATAGATGTGAATGAGTGCATGGTTTTGCTATGAACGTTTAGATAATAACCATGCCGTTATAGACAGCTCAATTATACATTTTGTCATTCATATATCTTTTACAAAACCTCCCCAAAATTGAATGCATATATAGACAATACTATCGAAATTTTAGCAAAAACCAAAACAACTATGGAAAGTGAATCGATATGCGATAAGAGAAAGCAATAGCATTTTCAACAGGTTTCTCGCGCTTGACTTCGATATTCATACAATCTTCATAATAGCTAACGGATAACACAAATCTAGATACAAGATCTGATAAGCATTGCATTTCAAAATCTTTAAGCAGAATATCAACCCTAGCCTTGATATACGAGTAAAATAGTCACGTACGATATACGCAAATCATAATTCCTATAATCAGTGGAATTCCGGGGAAAACACATACAACTATAATCTATACAGTATAGTAAAGAAAGGAAACCCTAACATAAAACTATCAGAAAGTTAAAGATATATATGGACACGAAAAAACATTACACAATACACATACATGCTAGAAGTTTCACTATAGATGTTCTTACCTTTTAAATCGCTAGTTTTTCTGTGATCCAAGAATGTAGCCTTAATTAATATACTAATCGACAGCTAAACATTTAATGAGCTTGAAGACGCGCAATCGCCTATTTATGAATCTTTAGACAATACTTAAAACTCCCACTGACTGTTCATCATGGCAGACGATGTATACCAAACCCAAACTGCGTGGGAACAATTGGTTCCATTCCAGACCCACCCCACTTTTGTCGTAAAATTTACACTTTTGGAAAAGAGCATCGATATTGGTCATTGTACACATAAAAATTACTGCTCTGCCATTGGTTAATTGCGTAAAAAACAGCATGCGGTCATTCAAAAATTACGTGCTTGCAGTAAACTAACTTACTCCATCAAACATGTGTAATTTGATATCGAACTTCAGAACTTAGTTTGGTTTTAAACCCTGCCACGGCTGATTCTATCGCCAGGAGAAACTCAACGCTCTGAATTTCATCATGTTAAAAGACAAATAGGTCACATAACTACGCCACAGGTTGAACATGTCCATGCGAATTGAATAAACCGCTATAAATTATGCTGGACAAATAATAATAAATACCCGAACAAGACGCCTACTCAGGCGATCACTCGGGCTACAGTTATCTCGTAGTAACATGGAATGTTCGTGACACCCGCGCGAGAAACGATCCTAGGACGATTTCGATTGGTTCGAAGACTTCGTGCCGCCCACGCGTGCTTTTGTAAACTCGCGACGCAAAAGAAAAAACCGAGCCCATTTTACAACTCGGTCTACCTCGATCTATAATGCCTCTGCTCGATCAGTAATGCGATGAACAAGTGATGTTATGGTATTTCTTTTCGAGGGTAGCTGGTGACATTACAGGAGTCAAGAGTCTCAACATTATTCTTCTTCAACATAAAACGTTCTTCATTTGAAAGTTGCCATTTAACACTTATTTACTTTGCCGAGTATAATGCTGATTACTGATGCCAAGGGAAACAGTGTGTTTTGTTGACCCGAGCTCGCCGTCGAACAAGGAGCGGTCGAGAGTCAACAAAACACACTGCTTTCCCGAGGTGTCAGTAAATAAGTGATTTGTTATTATATCTGGTGTCAAAATGAAAAAAAAAACAGAGGCTAAAGAAGAGCCAATACCTAGACATATACTTGTATAGATTAGAATATGAAACAATATAAAGTTAATTTAGTTCTTTATCCTCAAAAGTATACATGTTCGCCACTTTCCTGTGATTTCCAGGGCGCGTTGCTAGGGAAAGCATAGCAATTTGAAAGCTCGGCTCGTGTTGTTGATCACGCTTAATCATGGAAATTTGAAGCCCTCCACGCGTCGAGCTGAAAAAAGATGAATTTTGACTAAAACGTGCTTTAATTCGATACACAGGTGCCTAAACCCTCCTCCCCCCTGCAAACTCTTTTTTGTGGTTTTTCTAATAACAAAGAAAATTAAGATGCACTTTCCAATTCCAGAAGCATAATTAGTCAGTGCAAGGTATCCTCTTTCCTCCCCCCGGAGAAAAGGTCCATAGTTTGCATCATGAATGCTGATTGGACAGTCGCAACGCTAGGAAGGCTTTTCATTGGCTAAAGAAGAGTGCTGATGAAATAATGAAAAAGTGTGACAAATGATTAGTCGGGTGCTCCTGATGGTATGTAATTAATGATATTATCGTATCATGCCCATGAACGACGAGCGTTTGAATTTCATGCATGTCACTGTTCGGTCCTGAGAAGGCAATGATCATTTAGGCAGATCCATTACCTAACACCTCCTTCAATCATAACGTCTGCGATATTCTTGGCTAAAAGATGTCCTTCCAAAAGTCGTCGCCTAACATTACAAAGAATATAGGAAACTATGAAGTCTGTTTAAATAGCCGATTTCATTTCAGTCATTTTAGGTTTGTTATTCTTCTTTAAATAGACGTGAATTAGTGGATAAGCTATATATATATATGCATTAGAGTTCAGAAAATAACCTTAGCTTATATAATGAACCGCTCAACTATAGATTTTGTCATTCATGCATATCTTTGATCAAAATCGCCCAAAATATGGAGCGAGATTTCTATATGGGTTTAACCGCTTAAGATTGTAAGTGAAATGTTTACAAGTGATACGATCCATTGGTAAGTGCTTGCATGCTTTTGTTATCAGCCACTTCAGTTACGTAAAAAATGGCGTATGTACACTTCAAGAATGTTTGCGGTCGTAAATTGTTTTAAAAAAAGGAAAGTCCTTTAAAAAGATACCTGAAGCAGGAGATTATATTTTTTGTTGTCCATGTTTTCTGTATGATTTATTAGTTCTTGTTCACTCTTTCAGAAGCATGCATGACTGGCAGATGGTCATTTAGAAAACGCGGAATGCCTGTCTGTTCTCCTTATCTTTGAATCCATCTTTGATCGGCTTTAGAACTTTTCGTTTGCTTAGTCGTTTTTTCAGGCATCACTATGGTTCTTAATTTCTCTTTAACATTAAATATATCCTCGCATGCATGCAACTCCATTCATATATCGGTCCAATTCATCACAAACTTTAGTTATGTGGTATATCAAATTCAATTTCATACTTCTCGATTGTTCTTTGTTTTCGAAGTGTGCAAGTCACTTTCTTTGAGTGAAACTCGATGATGAAGCTTGACAAATTAGTACGCCATGTAAATATATCATTAGCGTTGACGGTTTGTTTTGGAAACGAAAAACAATTTCTCCCAAAAAAACAACCTTCAAGTTCAACGTTTAAATTATGTGCACTTAACTCATGCTTAATATACTATCAGCAACCTAGGTCAACAACAGTGTGCGGACAGACACTAAATTACATACTTCTAGTATTGTGGTTGATGTGGTAAAATTTGGTCTATAGAGAAGTGATATGAGTTAAAACGCACGCGATGAGGGATTTCCAGGATACCTTGCAACGTAAATCTTGGAATATTTTGAGGTATCGTCATACGTCAATATGCCAAGGACAAGGACCAATTGAATTGACAACCCTTAGACTATATTAGACTGTGCTTGAACTCATGCAAGAAAGTGCGGATCGAAGCAGGTACAGTAACATAAGGTATTGGTTGATATAACATTATCATAGGGTTTTGAATAGCGCAACAGACACGACCAAAACCTTACGATATTCATGGAACACCATCGGGTCTAATTTTCAAAACACTGACGCTGTATATACTCCATCAACAGGATCGCGTGCATCGAATTTTAATTGCTTCAATATATTAAGAGGTCTGCGAATTCTACAAGTACCATGCTGATAGGATTTTCATGTTGTGTGACTAAATGATTCTGCCAAGAATATTTGTATAAATCAAAGAAGGCGTTCGATAGTAAGATTTCGCAGCATTTACCTGCATGGAATCGAAATAACAAAACTATCACATTTGGCCTGCAGAATAGCCAGATAACCAGAGAATTGCTCTGGGTCTCGCTTCAAGAGTTTCTCAATCAACAAAGCAAAAGAGCGTGCTTTAATCTATGGCCGGGTAAACTTATTGTTTGATAAATGATTCACTTTCTGCAATTCTACAAGACTTCGAATCGTTTCAGTCAGCCGAGTCAGTGTAGGTGAATTAGACTTCGTGAAGCTGCTCCGTATTTCTGTCCCCGGAAGCTTAGCGAATATGGCTTACTCTTAAATATTAAATGCTTATCGGTAAGTCATCAGTATACAATTACTTAATGGTTTTCGTGTTTGGATGGCCTGATCCAAACACGCGGGAATGTTGCGAGAGTTAAGAAAAGGGCGCGAAACACGAGCCGAACAATGACAAGGCCTGAATATATATTTGAATTCTTTAAAACTTTAAATTTCCGTGTTTGGATGGCCTGATCCAAACACGGACTTCGACCGAACAGAACACGCGTTATATATACATGTTATTTTATAAACGAATTTCTTTGAGGGAATTTCTCCTTTACTTAGTAGACTATTTTTAAGTTAGACTAACACTTTCTATAAATCTGTGCACACGCCGGAATTTGTTTCCAATTTTGCCGGTGCCAAAAAATGGTGGTGCGAATATTTAAAAAACGTAAAATCTTTTGTAATTGTCATTCAATTTGGCAACGATAGGGTAGCAACGCTTTTTTAACAATTTGTTACTAGATTCTATTGATATTTGATGAAAATAATCACTTATCTACCGGTTCCTCAATTACAGCTTCAAAGGTGGTATATCGCTCCAGTTAAAATATTGAGTTCATTTGTTCATATATAAGTATTCACCGTGATTGTGTTGAAAATCGTGTACTTATAAAAACGACATGTATTAAATTATCAAAGCCCCGTCTACTCTACACACAATTTATCGGCACGGCTAAAATGGGTACCCGTGCCCATTTCGTCCATGCCCGACCTTTGTATTGGTAGCCTGAGCAATAATAAAATTGGGTATGGGTAACAATTTTAGCCGTGCCGTGTCGGATAACTTAACGGAGCTCAAATGGTTTGCCGTAACAGTTTCGCTGAAAAGTTTTGTTTGTAAATATTTAAGTCCAGAATACGATTATTATATACGGAAAATATCCGCACTGTAGCACGGATGTAGTGGCGTATGAGTGTTTTAGTTCTCAATGAGATACCCCCATCTATATAATAAATAAATAAACTAGAATTACAAATCATAAGTAAATTGCTGCGAGTGAATACTGGTATAGTTGCCTTCATCTTCCCCCAGTCATCCCAACGGCAATATACTGCGTGTCAAAAAAATTGATCTTTAAATCATGATAAACGTATACAATATTTTATCGTGGTTATGCTGATGAGAATTCTCTCCCGAGTGGATCGCACGCACATAAGTGCGAACATGATTATATGAAGTCTTGCGCATTCGCATAGAATAAAACCGCAGTACTATGGCAGCTTCGTATCCAGGCGCTTTAATAGTGAAATATTCAACGTTGCATTCAGTTATTGTATAGAAGTCAGCTGAGAAAAGGCGAGTGCGCGGGGGTGGTTTTTACAAAGTTAGCAAGCACCCCTGCGCGCTCGCTTCGTTTGGCTGACCTCTATACAATACTGTATGCAACGTTATATATTTTACTATTATTGCGCCTGGGTACGACGCTGGTACTGTGGTACGTGTGCTCATAAAATCATCCTGACAAACAAAAATCGCTGATCGAATATAGGGCCGCTTGCTTCGCTATAAACAATTCACATAAAATTATTATGCCGAGTGTAAACACTAAATAATCAGTTTGTGCGATGAGATTTGCAACAAACTGCATGTCTGGAAATACTGCCATGAAAATGTCTACAATTTCTTCAAACACGCACCAATTGCATCGTGGCATTCGGCATGTTGAGGTGTTTCGTGAATTGTTTGCATGGCCGTACGTTCTAGAATCAAGTCATGCGATGCTATCTCTTAAAAAATTCCTACATTGGCATCATAAACGCCTCACTGTCGCATTGCAACAATGCACTCTTTTTACATAATTTAATTGTCTTCCTGTGTCACAGTTGGAACTTTTTTCCGTAACATTTTTGAATTTACAATAGGTTTTTGGTAACATTCGATAGAACAGAAACTGTGATTAAGAAAGAACTCTTTCAACTACAGGAACTTCGTCAGGATTTACCGGCATGAAAATTTTTAACTGTGATCGCAGAAACCAGTCTGACAGTGAAAACCTTTATATTCATTATTAATATTACAGGTTGGGTAAATAATTTATTAGGCTTCAGATCATTTGTTCGGTGCCAATTAACATCTATATCACAAGCCTTACCCACTCCAAACGAAACAACTATTTATCTATGCATGCATGAACAAGAAAATTTCAAAGACAATCTGAAATGAGAAGATTGGAATAATTGCACGATACATCAATAACTATATCGTTGGCTTGATCAAGGTGAGATAAAAATTCTAAGCTGATTTATAGTGATGCCAACTCAGTTGATTTTAATGACCCACTTTTTTTCGAGCTTTTAAAAACAACAAAAGCACCGCTCTTTGATTTTTCATTTCGAGGCCACTTTCTATGAATTATGGCTTAGAAAATGATTTGGTTCCCAACTGAGAAATGCGCTTCAATTTGAAGCACAATAGCTGTTACGCGCAGCTGGACTCTCTTGTTGAGAACCAATCAAATCCTGTGTACGTTACATCACTTTCTCTCTTTTGACGTATAAATTAAAGATTGTGTATATCAGTAAAAATTAAAGATTCGGTATGTATCAGTAAATTAATGCACTTCGCCTGCCAGGAACAACGCACTTCGTAAAGCGGGCGAAAGGATCATTTCAGTCGGCAGTCGCCTTACTGTTGCCATTGAAAGAAATAGAGCAGGAACAGAATTGACCTACGTTTTTGAACTCCAAACCAGTAAGAAACTCTATATTATATAATCAGTACTGCTCACCTGTTGTGACTTCGATGAACGGATGCATATAGTATTCATGATGTATTGCTATCCTCATGCAGAAGCTATACTTCTCATGCACTCTCGACACTATCTCAAATACACACGTCGATGATAATAATAGATATTTGATTCTATAGCCCTGCATGAAATAAAGTGGGGAATGTAGACGATGAATCTATGATCAGCAGACCGTATAAATCCTTACCAGCAGATAATTTATTAAAGTATAAGAAAAAACGTGCTCCGAAAAACAACATCTTGTAAATTTACGACAAATTATGTTGATAAAAAACCCCCAACAATTTGGCGATGATATTTCGACTTTATCAAATTTTTGAAATAAATAATTAAATATTTAACAATTATACCCCGAGATCGAGTCGTATATATATATATATACATATCTATATATAGTGACTATTAAACGTGACTATACGTGACTATTAAACATGCGTGGGAGTTTGGGAGAACGAGAAATAATCAGTTTTGTACAAATATTATAATTCGATTCAATTACAAATTCTCATTACATTACTTCGCTTGTCATATTATACCAATAAATGTTACAGCCATGTAGCATTTAATTTTCCCCTACTGAGAAAAGTCGTGTTTGAACACACAGGAGAAAACTACGTGTGAATTAAATTATCATTTTCGTAAGCTAATAAGCGGCTCTGTAGAAATTATGTTTGACCAATAAGAGATCTTGTAACGTTCACGCCGATAATAGTAAAAAATCTCTTCGGGGCGCGAAATAAAATCCATATTTCCGTGCAAACATATAATATTCTGTATTAATTAATATTCCTAATTCCCATTCATTCCAGAAAGGCCCACCTGGCGTACACGTCATTCGGCGGTAAAGAAACTGTTTTGAGTGATGGCAGCAAGCAAAGAGGAACCAAATAAAACAGTCGAGGATAAGCCGGAGGATCTACAGAAAACTGTGGACCATGTCGTGCGAACATGGGAATTGGTGAACAAAGATGCTTTAAAGCACGGGATTGTGTTTTACAAAAGGTAAGCTTAGGAAGTAGACTATGATTTTTTAAATGAGGCGCACTTTATAATCCATGGTACACTGGCAAGGAAGAAATTCGTTTTTAACTAAATTTGTTTACACCTTTCAGGTTAAGCCAATCAGAATACCTGAATTTTTAATATTTCGGTAAATAATGTACCTTTTTACCGGAAGAAAATGTGAAAAATTCGCTGATTGGTCTAAAAACGAAATTCCTCCATGTTCCACGGTACAGCTTCCATTATACCTGATTATACCTGATTATACCTGATTATACCTGATTATACCTGATTATACCTGATTATACCTGATTATACCTGATTATACCTGATTATACCTGATTATACCTAATTATACCTGATTATACCTGATTATACCTGATTATACCTGATTATACCTGATTATACCTGGTTTTTCTAGGCTTTTCACCACACATCCCGAGGTTATAAAATTGTTTTCATTTTCGTCTGAAGTAACGGAGAAAATGGAGGATAGCCCAGGCTTACAAAAACAGGCAAATTCACTCATGTCCATGATCGACTATGCCGTTAGTCAGTTGGGTAATCTTCCTGAACTCGTTCCGCAATTGAAAGAACTTGGTGCAAAACATGTTGTTGAGTATCATACTAAACCCGAGCACTTTAAGGTAAATTAAATCATAGAAGTCCATTAACAAAGAGAAAACACCATAAAACGCACTCAATCTAGTGTGGAGCAATACAAAAAGTCTCCCCCCGTCCTTCCCTCTTGACATCTTATAATTCCAGCGTCCCTGGGAAAAATATTACACAGCCACTCAATCCAGCTGTTTTGGCTTTTCTATCATAATTTTGGTGTCTTCCCCACAAAATGTACACGTGGCTTATAGCTTGATCATGCGTATACATTATTTCTAGCCTGTTGGTGAATGTTTGCTTTGGACTTTAAAAGAAGGTTTGGGAGAATTGTTTACACCGGAAGTCGAGATGGCTTGGACATCGATCTATAAAATCATCGCTGACACTATGATTGAAGGTGGCAAGGAGGAGTTAGGCAATGCATCTGCGTGAATGATCATTGCCTTTCCAGGATCGAACAGTGATATGAAGTTCAAACGTGCACCGTTTCATTGGGATACTTATACACCGTCTTATTATAGCTGAATTGTAATCTAGATGACAGTAATCAAACGATAATACCATTAATTACATACCATCAGGAGCACCCGATTATTCATCTTTTGCACTTTTTCAATATTTCATCAGCACACTTCTTTAGCCAAGGAAAATCAAAGTAGCGTTGCGACTGTCCAATTAGCATTCATGATGCAAACTACGGACCTTTTCTCCGGGGAGAGGAAATATTCGCAACATCACAGCATGGGAGAGAGTAAAAATATCAACACCAGGTAGCCTTTGTTTTCGTTGTCATTTCTCCTCAGACAGATCGATAACAGAATAGTACACTAAGTTGGTATTGCAAATAATATATTTCAATAGCTTGCAACTAATTATGCTTTTTGAATTTGAAAATTAAATGCGTCTTAGTTTTCTTTGTTATTAATATTAGAAAAACCACAAAAAGAGTTTGCAAGGGGGGGGAGGGTTTAGGCACCTGTGTATCGAATTAAAGCACAATGGCATGACATTTTTTCCTATCTCATTTTTAAGAACGTTTGAAACTATACTAAGAGTCTTGGTTCTTGTAATGTCATAAGCTACCCTCGAAAGAAATACGATAGCATGACTTCTTGCCGGCATTACGTACATACGGGGTAATTATTTATTATCAGAGCATTGGGTGAATCTATATATGCAGATCGATTCCCTTTTGATAGTTTACACCTACAGAGGTATATGAACATTTTGGCGAATGAAATTTAAAAACGCGTCATCTAAATAACAAAACTAATAAATATATACTCGGCCGGGCTTAGCGTTTATTTCGCGTTTATAATGGTATTTAAACTGTCCAGCTCAAAACAAAAATACAGAAAATTATCGGCCATAAACATAATTTAAAGCGGTTCATTCAATTTGGACATGTTCAATCTGTGGCGTGTTTGTGTTTTAACAGTAATGAAATTCACAGCGTTTGGGGTTTTTTTCTTGTGATAGAGTCAGCCGTACCAAGATTTAAAACCAAACTATAAGCTCTGACGATCGACATCATGCATATACCACATGTTTGAGGGAGTTAGTTTACTGCAAGCATGCAAGTTATTCTTAACTGCTGCATGAGAACCAATACTTTACAATGTTCAGTATCGGTACTTTTTTCTAAAAGTGCATGTAAATTTTACGACAAAAGTGGCGTGGGTCTAGAATGGAACCAATTGTCCCCACGCAGTTTGGCACCATGTCAATGATCGTGGCTGGGCGCGGCAAACGTATGTATGTGTTCAGTTTTATATTGCAGTCTGTGACACACACACAGATACTATATAGTCAGTATCTGTGTGTTCAACAAAACCCGAAAACAATGCTAGCGAAAATTTTAACGAAACAACTATGGAAGGTGTCACTGTCGATATGCGATAGGAAAAGCATGCATGCAATAGCGTTTTGAACACGTTTTAATCTGGCTCTTGACTTTGCACTTCATAAAATAATCTATATAAAATATAACTAAAACATACATTGTATAACATAAATCTGGAAACAAGATCTGATAAGGATTTCGAAGCGTTTAAGCAGAAAATCAACCCTTGATATGCGGGTAAAATCGTCAAGTACAATATATACGCAAATCATAATTCCTGAAAGTGAAATTTCGGACAAAAAACAAATGCTGCATGTTTTATCAACATACAGAAAGTAGGGAAAACCTTAACATAAAACTACAAAAAGCTATATGACACGAAAAACTTTAAAATTACATGGTGGAAATTCTACTATCGATGTTCTTACCTTTTATTTTTAAATTGTTAGTTTTTCTGTGAACCAAAAATATAGCCTTAATATAATAATCGACATGCAGTTAAACATTTAATGCGCTTGCATGTAGACACGTAAATCATCGACCACTCAAACAACTGGAACTTGTTACTTTATAAAGAAGCACTGCACATCAAAAGACGCAAATCAATATTAAACAATGGTCTAAATGTACGTCAAAATTCGTTTTAATTGTTTACGCGTGCTACGCTCACGCGTGTTTTAAAAAAATTGTACGCGCTTAATAGTTACGCAAATCTTGTAAACCATTCTGCTGAAGATGAATCGATCTTGATTCGAAATATACAGAATAAAATTTGTATTATGCTTTCATTTTTCGGAATTACTTTAATTCTATATGTAGACACGTAATCGCCTATTTATGAACTTTAACCAATACTCCCACTAACTGTTCATCATGCATAGCAGACTTTATCAAAATCACATATTCCTACCGCGAATTGACATGATGCCAAACTGCGTGGGTACAATTGGTTCCATTCCAGACCCACCCTACTTTTGTCGTAAAATTTACACCGGCTTTTAGGAAAGTGCACCTATATTGATCATTATATAAAATTACTCCTCTGCAGTCGCAAATAACTTGCTTCAAATAACTATACTCTCTCGAACATGTGGAATTTCATGTCGTCGTTCTTTACAGCTTAGTTTGGTTTTAGATTCCGCTACGGCTGATTCCCTCACAAGAAAGAAACCCAACGCTGTAAATTTGATCGTGTTAAAAGCGAAAAGGTCACATAATAAGTAATTATTCAGTAATACAGTCAACAAGTGCGGTTTTTCTAATAACAAAGAAATTTAAGACGCATTTTCAAATTTCAAAAGCATTATTAATTTCAAGCATTGAAATATGTTATTTGCAATACCCACTTAGTGTACCTTTCTGTTTTCGATCTGTCTGAGGAGAAATGACAACGAAAACAAGGCTACCTGGTATTGATATTTTCATTCTCTTCCATGCTGTGATGTCGCGAATATTTCCTCTCCCTGGAGAAAAGGTCCATAGTTTGCATCATGAATGCTGATTGGACAGTCGCAACGCTACTTTGATTTTCATTGGCTAAAGAAGTGTGCTGGTGAGATCATGAAAAAGTGCAAAAGATGATTAATCGGGTGCTCCTGATCGTATATAAATAATTATTAACAATTATTGAGTGAGGTTGAACATGATATAAAGAATTATTAAGCCAAAGTTTGTGGTTGTCAACCGAAGCGGTTGAGGTTGATAATGACAAACTATATAAGGCTTGATAATTTTTCATATCATATGAAAACCGAATTCAATAATTGTTTTACTATTTATTTAATAGAATGAACATTACAACTTTGAATTGTTCGCTTGGATAGTGTCGATTTCACATTCCCGCTCCCGAGTTTGGGACGTTGATGTCTTCGCCATTCGTGTGACGTCATAACGTTGGATACGACTATTTATCACACCTTATGACGTAGTAACGTGCAAAAAAAGTCGTAGCACACGTTATGACGTCACACGTTGGACATGACGATTTCACACATGGCTATTAGCCAATCAGAGGCTTTGAATTACTGTAAATAAATAATAAATGATATTATCGTTTGAATACTGTCATCTAGATTATAAATTAGCTATAATACGACGATATATCAGTATCCCAATGAAACGGTGCACGTTTGAATTTCATATCACTGTTCAGTCCTGGAAAGGGAACGATCATTCACGCGCAGATGCATTGCCTAACTCCTCCTTGCCACCTTCAATCATAGTGTCAGCGATGATTTTATAAATCGATGTCCAAGCCATCTCGACTTCCGGTGTAAACAATTCTCCCAAACCTTGTTTTAAAGTCCAAAGCAAACATTCACCAACAGGCTAGAAATAATGTATGCGCACGATCAAGCTACACGTGTATAGTTTTGTGGGTAAAATACCAAAATTATGATGGAAGAGCCTAAACAGTCGGATTTATGGCTGTTTATTCTTTTTTCCCTAGAGATGCTGGAGTTATAAGATGTCAAAAGAGAAGGACAGGGGGAGACAGAAGGACATTTTTGTTGTATTGCTTGACGCTATACGATTTTCGTTTGATCGTGTTTTCTCACTGTTATTAGATTCTATGATTTAATTCCGTCGGAAGATTGTGTTAAACTTGTATTTTCTTGGCTGCATTTTTAGCGTTGCCTAACAGACGAACTGCAATGCAATACTACAATTTGAAAGGGTATCCTTCGCCCTCCCCCCTGCTCACGTGTACTCCCCAGCTATCCATCCAGTGTCCCTAATTTCTTTTGTTACCTTTAAGTACTCGGGTTCAATGCTGTACTGAACAAAATGTCTTGCACCAAGCTCTTGCAATCGTGGAACGAGTTCAGGAAGATTACCCAACTGACTCACGGCATAGTCGATCATTGACATGAGTAAATTTGCTTGTGTTTGTAAACCTGGGCTATCCTCCATTTGCTCCGTTACTTCAGACGAAAATGAAAACAATTTTATAACCTCGGGATGTGTGGTGAAAAGTCTAGGAAAAGAGCGTGGAAGGTTACATAGGTATAATGAAAGCTGTACCGTGGACCAATCATTCCAAAAAATCATTTTCAGCAACCTAATCAGAATACCTCAATAAGTCAAATATGGGCCTAGGTTATAGGTCGCATTTGGTCAAACAATAGATAATGAGATGATAGGCTTCATTATCATCCCATTATCCATTGCCCGAATTGCATTCGACGCGACCAAAATGCGACGTATAACCTAGGCCATAGTCTACTTCCTAAGCTCACCTTTTGTAAAACACAATCCCGTGCTTTGAAGCATCTTTGTTCACCAATTTCCATGTTCGCACGACATGGTCCACAGTTTTCTGTAAATCCTCCGTCTTATCCTCGACCGTTCTATTCGGTTCCTCTTTGCTTGCTGCCATCACTCAAAACAGTTTCTTTACCAAATGACGTGTTCGCGAGGTGAGCCTCAATTTCTAGTATGAATGGGAATCAGGAATATTAAAAGAGGATATTATATGTTGCACGGAAATATGGATGATTTTATTTCGCGTCCCGAAGAGATTTTTTACTATTATAGGCGTGTACGTTACAAGACCTCTGACTGCATGGTCAAACATATTTCCTACATTAGCTTACAAAAATGATATTTTCACACGTATTTCCCCCGCATGTGTTCAAACACGATTTTTCCCAGCAGCGAAAATTAGAAGTCTATATGTTCATATAATAAGAAGAAATAGAAAGAGAGAAATCTCTATATAGGTGTATTTACCATATCAAAATCATAAATCAATTAATACAAATCAATATAAATATATGTATCAATGCTATGAAATATGAATAGCAATATAATTATTTCAATTATTTATTTCAAAGAATTAGTTGACTACAATGACTTTGAAATAATACGAAATATCAGCGCTAACTTGTTGCCTTTTTTATCAACATATCTTAAATTTACAAGACTGTTGTTTTTCGGAGCATTTTTTTTCTTATATTTTAAATAAATTGTCTGCTGGTAAGGATTTATACGGTCTGCTTATCATAGCCGGATTCATCGTGCACATTCCCCACTTTATTTCATGCAGGGCTAAGAATCGAATATATCTATTAATATCATAGACGTGCATGTATTTGAGATAGAGTCGAGAGTGTCAACTACCGCTTGTATCCTCGCAAGTTTGCAATATATGCATGCTTGAAATAGACTTCAAGATTGTATACGGTAAACAAGCAAGGGCAATATATGAACATCCTGTATACAGTGCACACGATACACATCATTAAAACAACACAAAGTATATCGCACACGCGCGGTAAAATATAGAGTTTCTTACTGGCTTTGAGTTCATAAACTTTGGTCAATTTTATTCCTGTTCTTTGTAAGGCGGCTGTCGACTGATCCTTCCGTCTTCACGAAGTACGTTAGTCAAGGCAGGCGAAGCGCATTAATTTACTGATGTATAATTATTTTTCACAATCAGGTCAAAAGAGAGAAAGTGATGTAACGTGCACAAGATTTGATTGGTTCTCGACAAGCGAATCAAGCTGCGCGTAACAATTATGTTTGTGTTACTATTGTGTTTCAAATTGAAGCGCATTTCTTGGGAACCAAATCATTTTCTAAGCCATAATTGGTAAACAGTGGCCTCGAAATAAAAATCGAACAGCGATGCTTATGTTGCTTTTAAATGCTCGAAACTAAAGTCATGAATCTTTATAATCAACTGAGTTGGCGTCACTAAATCAGCTTAGAATTTTTATCTGACCTTGATCAAGCCAACGATATAGTTATTGATGTATCATAATGCAATTATTACAATCTTCTCATTTCAGATTGTCTTTTAAATTTTCTTGTTTATGCATGCATAGATAAATAGTTGTTTCGTTTCGAGTGGGCAAGGCTTGTGATAGATCTAGATCAAAATTAATTGCCACCGCTTTTGTTTCCTTACAAAACAAATGAAGCCTAATAAATACTTTCCCCAAACTGTATATATAATATTAATAATAATTATCAAGGCTCGGTTTTATTGTCAGAGCTCCCGCGATTACAGTTAAAAAATTTCATAGTTAAACCCGACGAAGTTCATTTTGGTGAAATAATTGCTTGTCAATCATAGTTTCCGTTCTATCGTATATTACCAGAAAATTCTTTAAAATCCGAAAGTATTACGGAAGAAGGGTTCCAACTGTGACACAGAAAGACATCTCGCCATTAAAAACGAATTAGTGGAATTAGCGTCCAGGGGTAAAAACTGTGCATTGTTGCAAACGTACCGACAAAGAGTTGTTTAGAAAGCCAACGTTGCAACAGGAATTTTTCCAAGCGATAGCATCGCAAAAAAAATGTGCGTAACTTGATTCTAGAACGTACGGCCATGCAAACAATTCACAAACACCTCAGACTTGCCTGATTCCATGCGATTGGGAATAAGCTCTTGTGCATGTTTGAGAAAATTTTCATGGCAGTATTTCCTGGCACAGTTTGTTGCAAATCTCATCGCATAAACTGATTGTTTCATGTTTACACTCGGCGTAATAATTTCAGGTGAATTGATTGTTTATCATTTATTTATATATAAACCAGACTGTTCGAAGTAAATTCTTATTTGTAAACAATCGTTTTTTAGATCAGTAAATATTTACAAACATTTTTAGCGAAACTGCTACAAACCACTTGAGCCTTGTTTACACCACAATCAATTTATCAGCACGGAACGGCTAAAATTGTTACCCGTACCTAATCAGTTTGTTGTGTTTTGGCTACCAATACTAAAGCCGGTATGGATGAATTGGCCATTTTAGCGGTGCCGATCAATTGTGTGTAGTGAAACGGGGTTTTGATGATTTAGCTACTGCATGCATGTCACTTTTATACTTTAGTACACGATTTAACGCAAGAATACTTTAATGCTGCCCTGATCCTGTGTCTAAAACGGTAATTATGCAATGCAATGCCTAGAACCCAAGAATATAATCCATAGCTTATAATCTAACCTTACTATACCAATGACACATATGGACTCATATTTCAAATGGAGCGATATTCCGGCCGCTTCATTTGAAGTCAAATTGAAGAAACGGTAGATTGATTATATACGGATAGATAATTATCATTTATCAACAAATTGTTAAAAAAGCGCTGTCTAAGAAAATCCAACAATTTTGCTGGATTTCTTGCAAGTTACGCAATCATTCGCAAATTGAATGACAATGTCAATAACAAAATAATTTTACGTTTTTTTAAATATCATAGGACCACCATTTTTGGCACAAAATTGGTAACAAATTCTATGCCGCTTTGATAGCTGTTATTTTTTTTGCGTGGTGGAATCTACCTCACGTGTATCTCCGCAAGTTTGCTTTAGCAGACGAACTGATAATAAGTGTAAAGATTGATTCTCCCTTTTCGCAAACCAATAACATCACCGGATATCGCTAATTCAGGATTTATTCCAGGCTTTGTTACACAACGAAAAAATCCTATTAGCATGGTCTTGTACAATTCATATTGGCAGACGAATTAGTTTAAAATTAGATAAACGCGATGCTATCGATGCCGATGAAGTATATTATACAATTAAAATTAGACCCGATGGGGTTCCCATGAATATCGCAAGGTTTCGGTCGTGTCTGTTGCGATATTCAAAACCCTCTGATACATTTTATATCAACCAACTAATTGTTTATGTTATACTAAAAATTATAGGCACTGTACCTGCTTCAATCCGCACTTTCTTGTACGAGTTAAACGACAGTCTAATATAGACGAAGGGTTGTCAATTCAACTATAGTCTATACTGATTTCATGGACGTATACGTGAACGTCTTAACTTGCCATGTCTTTGAGGTGTTGATGAATGACGATACTTCAAAATATTCCAAGATTTACGCTGGTAACCTAGAAATGACTCAACGCTTTCGTTTTAATGTCACTTCTCAAGGCCTAATCTGACCACATCAACCATAATACTACAAGTATATCTGTCCGCACACTGCCGTTAATAGTGTATTTAGCGTGGGTTAGTGCAATGTTCAACGTTTGATTTGAAAGTATATTAAACGTTGGACTTGAAGGTGTTTTGGAGAAATTGTTTTTCGTTTTCCAAAACAGACCGTCGACGCTTGTATATTTACATGGCGTACTTAAGTCGTCCAGCTTGATCATCGAGGCACACTTAAGAAATACACATTTCGAAAACAAAAAAAAAACAATCGAAAAGTATTTGTGGTGAATTGGACGTATATTGGTGGACATATAATGTAATGATGGAAGTTGTGAGCGTATATTTAATGTTATAGAAAAATCGAGAACTATATATGACTGGAAACACAACTGGCAAGTTCTAAAACACGAGTCTTGATCCAATGATTGGGAAAAACCCGCAACGCAGACGCGCATTTAGCGTTTTCTAATATGTCTAAACCATGCGGGAAATATAGACATAACAAAAGATAACCTCCCCCGCTTGAAGGGCTTTTTTATGCAACCGAATTAGCTGATGACTAAGGCAAGCACTTACGAATGGATCTTATCACTTGTAAACATTTTTCTTATAGTCTAAAAACTATATGCATGATATGCGCAGCTGTCATATCCACTGTTTTAACAGACTATTAGGCGGCATTGTATCGCGGAGTGAAGGTTCGATTCCTGCCAGAGGACCGAAGTTGATTTTTTAACGTACTCGGTAACGTCTTTAAAATGACGTGTTTCTGCCTTCGCTCTCCGGAAAAACCTTCAACATTACAAGGCGCACGATTCACAATGTCGATGATTTGAAATATTCCGCTATTGATTTCGGCTGTCTAAAACGTTATTTTTAAGCGCTCTAAACCTCATTTCCTCGCAATCTTAGCAATCATATTCGTGCAAAAGTAATGAACGCCATTTAGACCGGAATGATAACTGAAGGTTATTCGGCCGCCATCTTTAAAGCCAAATCGAATCGAAGACTCTTGCCAGTCTTTTTTTCCCTATTTTGTCCCCGCGACCCTCAACCGTGCCGACAAAAACAATAGAAATGGACTGGCACTGGTCCTCCAATTCGGCTTAAAATTGGCGGCCAAGTTATTGTTCGAGTCCTTATAGAGTTCAATGGTGCAAAAAAACATTGAAAGAAATCCACAGGCTTTATCGTCTGGTAAACAGCTGGCCTTTGAACCGCGCACCAATATCACCTCTGTACAGTCACACGTGATATACTCATGCTTTTATTAAGATGAACCTCAGTATATTTATTTTGGGTAAGATAAAAAGCTTTTCGCCTGTCTGGTGACATTGGAAAGGCACATTTGTACGGGCAGAAGTTTTGTAAAAGTATTCGAAGTTAAAGCGTCTATTGGCAATGCATATAATAATTCTCATATCTCGATCCGAGGAATTCCCTAGGCAAGGGTAATAATAGGCAGGATAATTTTATCGTGTATAATAAACTCTGTAGAATAGCGTTTTCGATCGAAAGAGCGAGTAAGAATTGTCAAATTTCAGGAGGTAAACACCACGTCCAGGGTATAGATGGCTTCCGACCATAACTTCCTCGTTACAAGGTCGCCGAATCGTCGGAAGAATCTCGTCGATTCTTAGTTTTGGCGTTTCATTGTGTTCGCCATTTTGCCCCGTCTCGCTTTCCTCGTTTTCGTCAACTTTGACGGTGATTGCTTCGGACGACGGCAATGTCCATTCAAAACTAACCCCAAATCCAACATCGTACGTTTCTGTAGCGAATTCCCAGAACAAGCAAGTGCCTAAAAATTGGGCGAATAAAGGTAAGTTTTGTCAAAGTACAATCTCCGTATAGGTTAAATACGCTTATTTTAGCATGCTAAGATTACTGAATACTGACTCGTCAAGAGGTGTACAGTTATTTCACTAATTACATACTCTTTGTAATTACATATAAATAACTACTATACGTTTTTAAAAATGCGTGTGCCATCCACATGTTTAAAGGCCCGTTCGCACGATCCAACTTTGCCGGATCCAATGACCCTTCCCTTTTAGTTTTCAGGCGCGCAATGCGTGACGGTAGTTGATTGTCAAGGTCAACTTGAGTTGTTATTTCGCCATGTTCAGGAACGATTTAGTTTAACAAAGAAGCAAAAAGAATCAGCAAGGTTCTCTAACAAACAAAATCGCTTCAAAGCAGAACGATATCGCAACTCAAAGTCCCTTGATAATCAATTACCGTCACGCATTGCGCTTGAAAGCTAAAAGGTCTATTGACTTCTGACGTATGGAATGTAGCTAGTTATTGATAAAGCATGGAGTACTGCATTGGTTTTAGTGGATTTGCTGCTCATATATTTAATTGCAAGACAAAAGAGTATAAAACATCCATCAGACCATCCTCTTTCTCGGTAATAGTTGTCTGTGGTAATTCAATTTTTGTATTTCTTACCATTTTCATGTGTTGGTACGCGGACAGTGATTGTTTCACCACGTCCAACAACCAACACAGAGCCAGGATCAGTTCTCACGTGTTGAATGAATTCTTGCACCTTGGGACGCGACCACAGCGAAGCTGGAGCGATTGACGGCGATCCGTTCACCTGAAAGTGTGAAACAACTCACAAGATGAAACTCATGGCTAAACCCTAGTTACTACGTTTTCCTGACAGATATATTAGGCAGGGAAAAACTTGAAATAGCTAAGATTGTATGTATAAGCTTGAGCTGCAAAATATCTATTATAACAGCTTCAATACATTTCGGTTGAAAAGTAGCATAGGAGTGTAAATCTTGCAATAATAATGTGCAACCATTCAGTAATGTAGAATAGACGTTTCTCGTAATGACTTTAAGCACGGAAAGTCTTGATTGGCTCGTCATTATAGCGGAGCCAATCAAACTTCGTATAATATCAGACTTTCCGCGTTTGATGTCGTTATGACGAGAAAGGTTCATTTCACCAGTTAAAATATTTAACTTCAGTTAATAACGCAAACTTGTCAAATACGAACGGGGAATTTGGAATAAAATAGAATATAACTGCACATTGGGTACATAGTAACAATGTTATTGAAAAGTTCTATACAAATAACACCTGTACCAAACCAGGAATACTCTAAACGAGAACAAATTCTTGAGGAAATTACCTGAGGTTTAGCTTGCATCATTAACGTTTTCTCCTGTTCTGCTTTCAAAGCTTCTTCATTTTTTCTAAATCGTATTTAACAATTTGAATTCATATGTTGAAAGTTTAGAAAAGCATTCAACCCAGGTTGATGAAATATGCTACAATATCTAAGTTGTAAATGCTTTCTCCAAGGAAAATGTCAACTCTTATTTGTACTTTTTTTCTAACATGAAAATATTAAGGGGGTCAGTGTATAATGCATGATAAAAGAAGTGTAATGCTTGGCTTGTATCACTCAAATATGTTCCTACTACTGGTTGTGTTGTTCATTATGATTTATGTAAAGTATTTTTAGCCTAGCCATGAAGTATGTGAATCTAACATAATATGGGCACATGTTTAAAGAAGTTTGACATGTTTATAACAGATTTATGAATCCTTTCTGGCACAAAATGTTTCAGTTTGAAAATTGGAGCATCAAATGCAATGGGAAGCTCTATTCAGTTTTTATATTTGTGAATCAGTAATTGTAACCCAAACCTCTGTTCTTCCCGTTCAGCCTCTTCTCTCCTCTTCTGTTCCTCAATCTTCTGCAATCTCTCTTGTTCAAGTCTCTCCTCTTCTTCCTTTCTCTTCCGTTCCTCCTCTTCTCGCTTTCTCCGTTCTTCTTCGAGTTTCTGTCGTTTTTTCTCCTCAATCTCTCTATACTGTGCTTCAAGGTATGCCTCTAGCTCAGGTGCAATCTTTTCCACCAAGCTACAGAACTCTTCCATTGCCTTCTCTTTTGGCATATCGCCAAGACCTTCCCATGCGACTCTGGTTGAAAAAGGGAAATTTGGGTGAATGGGAATGCATGCTGAAGGTACAATTAAAAGGGGGATTTATTCTTTAGGTGGTATCAATTATTACAACAAGATAATGTGATATCACAAAACAAAATGTAGTTCAGATGCAATTTAATTTATAATAAAGGTGAAGTTAAATAATCAAATGTATCAAGATTTTTTCCTTAGAGGCTTTGGATTATCTTTGGATTATAGGAGTTTACTACACCCCAAAACCCAGGACACTCTTGTACATAATTTGCAGTGTCTTTTTTGGTGTACAATTATATAACACATGGTACAGTAACTTGGTAATCTTAGGTGCCTAAAACAAACCTATCTGAAAGTGCATCATGTACATAGGTTTCAAGTTAATATCAATTTATGAATTTCAGAATGGTATTGGTATTTATATGAGCATACTTTCTGTCATTGCCAACAACGTCAAAATAGCCAACTTCTGGAATTTTTGAAGGATCATATTTTCCAGCTGAAGCTTGCTTCCATAGGGCTGTCAATCTGATTTTATCTTGATATGTTATTTTTATTACGTCTTTTCCTGTGGAGTAAAACAATACAATCAAAAATAAGTTTACTATCTATTTATTTTGAAATACTGTCACACCCAGCATCTCTTAAGGCACTAAATTCCCTACACAGCAGAAACACGGCCGAGTGGACAAAACTTGCACACCAGCGATAGCATTGGTATGCTGAAGCTTGGTGCCAAAGTTCTTCAGCCTTGGCTACACAGAGTGCACCCTGAATAAGAAGGGCTCCGCAAGCCAATATTACAGCCTAGGACCTTATCAAGTTGACAGGTAGAACTTTTGATCACATTTAGAGATTGCATTTGTGAAACCATCATTCTGTGATGTATTCGCAAAGCTTTTTACGCTGTCTAAAAAAACAGCACTTTTGAGATGAGTGAATATGGGCAAGAATTTATTTGATATCTTGCACAACTTGATTTGGTTCTTAATCACTTTTTCTACATGTATATAACAAGCGTCATTTCTAGCGCAATAAAAATAATAATATGCACGATATCTCTGTTTATGTGACAAGATTTTCCTGAGATTTTTAGAGCTCTATGATGCATCAATACAATTGACTCGACAATAATGACATTTTGTCATGTATATCCACTCACCTTTGTGATAAAAACTCAGGCACTGTTTATAATAATCCCGCAGAGTAAAACACTTTTTATACACGTCCGGACTTTCACTAGTATTTACGCTATCAGATAACACCGAATCATCGTCAGTTATTGTCAAGTTGGCCATAGATCAATCGATAAACAATATATAAATACAACATTCACGTCCTAATAATTCCACCATTGCACTGCCACGAATACCTTCTTTGAATCCGTCTGCGCATGGCACAAAGTGTTCGAAGAAAATCTCGTACCCAGAGCCCGCGATCGAAGAGCGCTGACCATTGAACTCAATGGCGCTGACTGACCTTATCTGATTCAAAATGGCCAAAGATAACACTAAAAAGTTAGCTTCTTTGCAATAGATTGTGGGCCAAATTGGCCAAATGTTGATCAATTTAATTTCGAGGGGGATTTTGCTTATAGTGCACCTGAATGCACCTCTAAAGAACATTTGTATACATCTCTTATTAATACAAACGGGGCTGGGGGTACTGTGAGTGCCAAAAATACTATTGCTTGAGAGCAGGTTCAGAGGTAAAACTACCTCTAATCAACATCCTTTCTTTTGAATTTGAACCGTAATATGTTTACAATTTAAAAAAACAAAAATTAAGAGAACGAGTCATCCAGTTATTATGAAGATCAATGATTAGCCGTCCCTAGTAAGGCTTGGTTACTAAGTCGTTTTTATAGAACTTTTTGTTCAACCAGAAAAGAACACGTTGATTTGTTATTATTTATGTCACAAATTATCTCGTAAAGAGCGAACCTCGCAAAGTTGTTTCTTTTACCTCAAATTAAGAATAGGAATGGTTACTTGTCGCTGTATCGTGGTATTTATCCTGGTTGTAGCCAGAACTTTGGCTGACGAGGGCCATGGTCAACCAGGTCAGGCAGATCAACACACTGAACACAGTAGGTTGCGGGACTCAAAACATGTGCACGACAAAGAGTAAGTGTTTTACAACAGAATATCACAACAGAAATGATAAAAAAATTCGATTTGGTGGTAAATTTTTTGAAGTTGTTGTACATAGATCAGTGGGTCGAAGTGAAATGGACAGTTTAATAAAGTGTTCATTGAAAAATATGCAATAAATTATATACATTAGCAAAGTTTTGGAATTTGTTTGAAGAAACAAAACCTTTGCATTGTTTAGGGCATATTTACTAGTTGTTTCTACTTGGGTTGCCAAGATGTATTTGCTTTGTCATTTTGCAAATGTCATCATCCTTGCCTAGATATAATGACTTTTCATGCTTTGCAAATGGATTTTACAAATCCTAAAAACAGTTGTGCAAAAACAGTATGGCATAGCCTGGTTTCATATGTGATAATTGCCATGAGTCAAATGCTGTAATTTATTTGAATGTGGTGTTTGACATATGAATGATTAATGGTGAAGAAGTATAATGAAGAAGGATGATTCATATAGGAAAAAAGTTTCAAATTCCAGATGATTTTACCAATACTTGGTGATTTCCAATGCACCAAAGTTGAAATGTTCTTGTTCTCTTTATAGCCATATCAAGGAACATTTAAAAGAAGTTACTGATGTGAAAGAAGATGCACCAATGAGCAATGAAGACCTTCAATTTCACTATTTCAAATTACATGATTACGATAACAACAATAAATTGGATGGCATTGAATTAGGAAATGCCATGACACATTTCCACGACGAAGATGGACAGCAAGATTCAACAGCATCATACACAGATGACCAACTTTCGAGCATGGTTGATCAAATCTTGGAAGAGGACGACATAAACAAGGATGGATATATAGATTACACAGAATTTGTTGGTGCACAGAACAGGGTGGATGAAAGTTCAGAGAAGGGAGCAGAAAAATAGAATTTAAATTTCATCAATGAGATCCAATTTTTATAATAACTATTGATATAATTACAGTATCATATAAATTTAAGAATTTGCAATCATTCGTTATTTCCCTGCATCTACCATATATAAATATATGTTTATTTATTGATATTTCATACGTAGGCCAGAGAGCCACATATTAATCTTAGAAGCAGGGTCCCCTACTGTTAGATGCATTGTCATATGGATAGAGCTCTGCATACATACGTTTTGTATTTGTTATTGAAGACTGAGTAATAGATAAAATTCCTATTCTATCTAGACTGTACTCACCCTAGTGACTTGGCAATGTTTCTGAACTTACCGGCATTAGAGGATGTGCAGTACTACTTTGATCAGACTACCTGCAGCAAATATAGCATGTGATGTATTCATGTAGTATCATTGGCAATTAGAGGTTCCTTTGTGATAACGATTCCTTTCTCATATAACATTGTTAACAAATCAATCTAGACAGAAAAAAATCAAAAAGCTAAAAATTGTCAACTAAGTCAAAGACACCATCACAAATTATGGTTAAACACAATGATTTGTTTCATCATCTAACTTCAATGATTGACTACTTTTGGAGAAAAAATACACCTGAAGATAAACCCATCCTACTGACCTACTCACAATCCCAACTAAGTGGTATTGTTAGGTACCACATTTGACTTAGCAAGAGGTGCCTAGGCTCTGCTCACATGAAGTGTTTTCTGCCTAAACTGACCTTATAATCCATGTTATCACCAGGCAAATTCTTGACTTCAACAAAGTTTGGAAATGCTTTTATCATCTGTTCAATTATTGGTGACCCCTGGAAAATGTAAAACTCAAAGTAGTACCGGTATAAAAGAATTAATGCAATTCCCAAAAATTTTATTTTAAAAAATAACCAATCCTCTGGTTATCAATGAAAACAACAGAGGCAATGTAATCTGCTATTAATTGGGTAGTTTTCATTGGCAGAGAGCAACCAAAACTGTTCATGAGAAGAAGTTATAGGATTCATACTTCGGAAGCAAACTCCATGTATTGTTGTTCTTGTTCATGATAAACTCGAGAGTTCTCCATATTATAGTAAAGAGTGACTCCCTCCTCATCTGCAACAAGTCTAAAAAACAACACAATTTCAACTACGAAGTAGCGAAGTGTTTCGTCAGTTGCACGACAGTGGTACCCCCCCCCTAATTTTGTTGTGTTCACCCCCCTAATATTGTTGTCGCCCTTCACAAAAGTAATTAATGGTTTTATGCGATGTTCCCTTCACTTATTATAAGACTTGCCCTGCAAAATATTTCTTCATCCCCAACCCCCCCCCCGCACCAAATTGACTCCACCCATTGATTAGCAACTGTCTACAACTCATGAGACGATCGTAATTTACGTGTCTGTGATCTTGTGCACATTAGGGAGTATTACCTCACAGAATCTTTACGAACCAGTCTTAGTTCTGTATCTTCATCGAGTTGAACAGCATTTGTAATCTGGCCATCTTGCCATCGTGCGCCGACGTTAAATACGCTGCAATCTTTCTCATCTATGAGACAGGAAAACACCACGTGAATTGGTTTATGCATGAACCATAATTTATTCATTTACATGGTGTTTTCTACAAATTGATAATTTAATTATTAATTCACAACGCAAAATTTCAAGAATATTACGAGACAAGAGCTAATAACCTTTCGCGCCAGTATTCTAATTTCTAAAAGCTCACACTCAAACTAATTGAGAGGAATATCGTCATCGTATTTCCACTCGAGTATAGGGGCTTGTAATGATTTTTATGAATCAGAGTCTTATCGTTTCAAAAACATATAGCGTACCTCTATTTAGGACAGGTGGCAAACTGTTATGAATGTGTTTGATTCCCATCTGAAACATACGAGATATGAGTCATATAACGCGATGATAAACGCGAATATTAGATAAAAACGCGAATATTAGTAACTTTTGTTATAAAATAACATGTATATAACGCGTGTTCTGATTGGTCGAAGCCCGTGTGATCAGGCCATTTTAAAGAATTTAAATTTAAATTCAGGCCTTGTCGTTGTTTCTTTATAAAACAATTACTTAATGGTTTCCGTGTTTGGATCAGTTCACTGGTTTGGATGGCCTGATCCAAACACGCGGGAATGTTGCGGGAGAGAAAAGCGCGCGGAACCATTAAGTAATTGTATATTACTATATTTCAGTTACCTGATCAACAGCGGCATCAATTGGGAGATGGGAGATCAACTTCATGAGAAGTTGTTCCACCCGACGAAGGAATTCTGAACGTTCTTTACTCGACTAGAAATAATGAAATACATGAAATAGGACACAATCAATCAAGATTCGGTTAAAATTCTTCTGCCGTGTAGCTATGGGGTGTCGCTTTTTGAAGCCAAACTAATAAGGTGGATTTTCAGAAAAATTGTTCAGTGAAAAAAAGAAAAACAAGCTGCAGATATGCATGCTCGGATTTTGAGATGTGTGGGTGGGGCACCCCCCTGGAATTCTTTTTCACCCTCCCTGGAAATATTTGCATCTGAGAACTTACCGTTTCGGCGTTCGTAAATCCCATCGAGCTAAGGTAGTTTAATGGAAGCCCACGTCGGAATTCAACGTCTTCCTCAATAGCGTTTTGCAATGCCTTAGGCAGCAACTGTGAAGGCGAACGAAACTAACACAATTGAGTTTCTCGGATTAATTGTTTCCGGAATTGAACATGGGAAATTTGATTTGTTGAATTGTAATAACCAGGGCCGTAGCTAGACCGCTTAATTGGGGGGGTGTATATTCATATATTCATGTTTATATGCCATAGGAACAATAGCATACAAAAGAAATCATTCGGGCATACGACGAATATATGAATATGCACCCCCCCAATTAAGCTTCTAGCTACGGCCCTGGTAATAACACGTATGAAAGGATCACGTTATAATAATCGGCTAGTCGTCAACTATATCGAAACTGGCAAACTAACCTCTTCCATAAAATCTCCCCAAGATGTCTTCTGGTATGTCGATAAAGTGATGTGTAACGAATGAGGTCCATCCAATGTATCTGCCTATAACACGCAGACTTGCGAATCTTCAGAAAATTCATCTTTTTTAAAATCGACATGCAGATATACTACAACCATGACATGCGACAGTATATTACCATTCCTTAAGCAGATTTGCACTATGGAATTGGCGAAACTAAATTTTGCTGAATATTCAAAAATGACAAGAGATGGGACGCGCCATACTACTTTACCTGATGTATTGTTCCACGTGGAAAATATAGTAAATCCCCGGGTTCCAAAACTATATCTAAGACCGGATCTCCAATATCTTCTTCCCGCAAATTGTCTATAAAAATTAATATCGTTAGACCTAAAATTAATATTTCTTGTTCACGAAAATGCGCATAAATTAAATTGAATTGATTTGCCAATATCTTGGTAATATTAAACGAAATGCATGCTCGTGTTATATATCAAAATTTACGCTAGGCTTTCCGGGATTCAGCCATGTTTATGCACGAACTGAGGTATTTATATTCGAATAATAAATCAAACGTCAAATAAATTTTCTCAATAATAAATCAAACGTCTGAGGTCGCCGCCACCCGGTATAGTTCACTCGTATATAAATTATATTATCAAACATGTTATAAATTATATTATCGCAAAAAAAAAGAATCAGCCTTAACAGTAATTTATTTCATAAAAGTTAGCTTTATATGACGCTTCGCCTTATGAAAACCTTTCTCAAAATGACGTTATGTCAATGAGTCAAGTGGCAACCAGCATAAAGAGATATTTGGTTTCTTGGTACATGCATGTGATCAAACTTTGAACCTTCCTCACAAACCTCATTCACTTCGTAATTGGACGTGCTGTGACCTGCTGACAAGCGAAACTATTGTCTTTTGTCTATTTTAAGTTTGTTTATCTTGTGACCATGGTGAATAAAATATATTCATGAATACATGAATTGTCATTTACACGAATTATGATTAAAGCCAGATAGATAATATTATAGAACAATCTATACATACGAACGCAGTATAAGTATAGGCGGAGAAAAGAGGTACAGAGACTATATCATTCACGGTTGAAAATACAATATATATATTCTTGGGAAACGGGATCAAAAAGAGGTTTTAAGGTATGCAAAGGATAGTTAATTCTGTGTCAGCTGCACCAGAGTAACTTTTAACTACACAAAAATTCGAGTGATCATGCATCATCATTATCATCATATATAAATGTAAGACGACTCTAACCGCCAATTAGGACTTTGTCCGCAATGCAGGACGTTTCCATAAAGGTATACCCGTTGAAATATAAGTGTTTTGTTGGAATAGGAATACTTATGATTTTATATGTTAATACTATGTCTATACTATGCTAAAATACATTTGCTATAATGAATAACATTCGATTCTTGGAATACACCTCAATATATGCTGCACAATGTCAATGAAATTCATACATGCATGCCAATGATGACCATAGCGTCGTTTTGTTCAGTACACAATATTCATTTTTTAACTGCTTCGTCGTCCCAAGGAGATCTCTCGGTCTCATAACCGACATAGCTGCAACGCTATGCCAGGGCTAATTGACCTCAGCAGGTTCGCAGTTTTTCTTCCGTCTTTGCACACTGAGTGGTTGTTTCATATCTAGACTTCACTTATGGGTGCTTCTTTTCCGAAGAAGCTATTTTTGACTATGACAAATTACTTGTGGAAATGAAATCAGCCGTTCTCTCGGCTTAGCGAAAGATCCAATATTTACAACACGTTACGAGCGGGTGGCGATAATATTATAATATACTAGAACAATGTATACATACGAACGCAGTATACGTATATAGGCGGAAAAAGAGAGGTACAGAGACTATATCATATATACAATATACATATATTCTTGGGAAACGGAATCAAGAAGAGGTTTTAAGGTATATATGCAAAGGATAGTTAATTCTGTGTCAGCTGCACCAGAGTAACGCTTAACTACACAAAAATTCGAGAGATCATGCATCATCATTATCATCATATATAAATGTAAGGCGACTCTAACCGCCAATTAGGACTTTGTCCGCAACGCAGGACGTTCCTATAATGGTATACCCGTTGAAATATAAAAGTTTTGTTGGAATAGGAATGCTTGATTTTATATGTATAATACTATGTCTATACTATGCTAAAACATATTTGATATAATCAAACGCTTTTGTCACCATAACAACCTAAATTTTGTGAATAACATTCAATTCTTGGAATACACCTGAATATATGCTGCACAATGAAATTCAATGCACGCTAATGATGACGATAGCGTCTTTTTGTTCAGTACGAAATATTTAACTGCTTCGATGTCGCAAGGAGATCTCTCACTTATAAGGGGGACATAGCTGCAAAGCTATGCCAAGTTATAGTGGAAAAGGGCTAATTGCCCTCAGCAAGTAGGTAGTTTTGCTTCTGGTCTAAGGAATGCACAAGTGGTTGTCTCATATATATGTAGACTCTCGTTAGGCGTGCTTCTTTTCTGAAGAAGCTATTCTTGACTGTGACAATTTACTTGAAAAAGTGAAATCATGCAGCCGTACAAGTCTCTCCGGTTAGCGAAAGATCCAATATTATATAGACGACGTATCATTAGATGGGGAGATGAGCAAATGCGAAAATGCTCTTCGCCGTATATGGTAGTCTGAACTTTCATTTAGTTCTCATGCATGATGCTTCGCGCTTCATTGATTGCATAATTAAATGTGCTGTAACTTTATGAAAAGCGAAACTATTGTCTTTTGTCTATGGCTGCAAAGTTCTTACGTGAATCAATTGCGTTTTATATTAGGAGTGGTCGAGCATTTTTACCATTACGTCACAGAAAGCTTAATTCGATTAAAAAAGTGGTATATGTAGTAAGTTGTAAAATAAGGTTCACAAAGGAGATGTTTGAAATTTTTACTAGTCACTGATGATAAATATTTTAAGTTGTGAACATTTTAAGTATTGATCGATTGAGCAAAAGACCAACTCGACTACTGCGTCAACTCCATAAATAAATAATATATGAGAGCTGGAGCTCCCCAATAGACAGTTCTCGAATTTTCTTGAGTGCACACAAATCAATAGCTTGGAAACGAGACGGACAATGTAATGTATTGTTAGTGTGATGGTTTTCATTGCTTGAGAATAAATTCGGAAAGTGTCTATTATATACAGACATCATCAAATATACAAGAATGGAAAATTTACATTCGCCTGATATTTTCGCTAATCATGGATCACAAACCCAAAGTTGTATTTAAATAAGTTGATAAGTTAGACTATTTTTATTTTGTTGTTTTAATGACAAAACAGTTGTTTTGACATCGTTACAGGCTGCTGTTGTATTTTAAAACAAAGATTAAATATTTTATTTTAAGAAACCTGAAATTACAAAGTTAACTTCTACAACGCCATTTTATAAGCCTCTTGTGCTTCCACTATAATTGTTCCTTTTTCTTTTCCGTGCTAGCGTCATCACTGCAGCTGCTATACTTATCACAAGATTAATAAAAGACAAAAGAGCCAAACATCAGAAGTTAGAAAGTGATTGCGTCATCTAACCCTGCAACCGGGAATCAAGGAGGCGATTCCCCAGACACTCGCGATTAAGTCAAATATTAAAGAGTAATGGATGATAAAGTGACGGTAATATCATGTTTATTATAGTAATATTTTAATAGTGTAGTTATATAACACTATACTGTTCTTACTTCAAGATAAATTGGTTTAATAGTAGTTTTCTTGTTAAATGGTTTAGATAGAAGAAGCCAAAGAAAATTTGGAAAAACTCAGAGGGATAATGAAGAGTACAGTCAAGGTTAAGCCGAATGTGAACATTCGCAACCCATCGGATTTGAAAGATGTGAAAGTAATCCACTATTTTCCTAAAGTAAGAGCAACAAATTGATTTTGAATCCTATCCGTCTACTTCAATACTTCATGAAGATAAGTGGTTCTTAAGACATTTCAGTTCTGACCTAATCGGTGAGATATTGCTATAGCGTTCCACACAGGGGGGGGGGAGGAGCTTTAAAAAAGAAGGGCTAACCCATAAATAAAGTACACGCAAATTTTAAGTAGAGTTCCTTGTTTTGGGATGTCACCTGGGTTATTCCTCCCTGAATAACTATTTTCCTTATTGTATGCACGGTAGAAAACATACCGTTCTCATTTATTAGACGAAGAACTGACCTTATATCGTAGATGTTATATGGATGACTTTTGTCTCTTTTCTGAAGTGTGTAAAAGAAGTACGGGAAAACTTCAAGAAACATTTGGACACCTATCTCTCCGATTTGAGGAAAAAAGGACCGACTGGGTATGGCCCCAAATTAGGTCAAGAATGGCACAAAATCCTGCACGAATATCTTACGAAACAAAATCCAAACGATAGCGATAGGAGAATAGGTAGAAGTGTTATTGAAGCCGTGAAAGAGAACTTACCTGGAATTGAGTTCTTGCAAAGCGAGTTTCCTCTGCATGGCTACATGACCAACAAAACGTTAGATGTATCTTTTTGGAGTGGAAAGGCTGACGCAATCGGGTGGTATGACAATAATTACGTCATCGTGGACTGGAAGGCGGTTGATATTCTAACTTTTTGGAACGAACGTTTAAATGATGTACTTAGACAATATTTTCATCAATGCTTAGTTTATGCCAAACTCTTAATGGTTCAATTGGGTCGTCAAAAGCTGCCGTATATTTTGATTGTGCCAATCAGCAACTTCACCGGAAGCCAAATCCACCCGGGCCTGTTTTGTGATTTTCCGCACGAATGTAAAAAGAAACTAGATGAGTACGACTGGTCAAAGGCGATTAATGATTTTCCGAACACATTGGAAAAGAAATCAGATCAATGCAAATCGTTAAAGATTACGGTAAAAAAGAAACCGAAAACGCTTGCGCTTCCAAAGAACTTGGCTGCGAGTAAACTTAACGGTTTTATCGAGGAAGATATGATGGTAAAAGACGTATTTAAATCCAATTGTACAGTGAAACAAATGCTGGAAGCTTTTGGGTTTGATAAACTGCTGGTGAATTGAATATGTGATGAACATCACACAAACTTTGGTTTTGCCATCAACAGTTACCATTTATCAAAGGTCATTAGCAGATGAGACTGCATGCCATTCTCTCTATGACCATTAGTAAATAAAGATATTTTGGGAACAGCTGATTGTAGAAGGGTATTGAAGGTAAAATACTCAAAACTAACCAGGGGAAGTTTAGAACTAATTGTACAAAGAGATTTGCAGATCAAATAACCCAAATTAACCAGCAGCAGTTAGAGACTATTTATAGAGGTGTTTTGCAGACCCGAACCTAACCAGAAGTTAAGAAGTAACGTAACTTAACTATGAGCAGTTGTATTAGCCGCACTTATGTAACAAACTTGGCTCAGCGGGTCATTTTAACAGACCTTTTGTGAACCAGACCATATTTGCCAACTAGACCATGATATTCTTAGCTTTTCATCCTTTGGCATGCATGGTCAAGATTGAACTTCACGATTTTAAAGTTTTAAAATGTTAAAAGTTGTTTTTAATAATTGTAAGTCTGATATACACAGCTTTATAGCTAAATAGCTATATCAACAATCGGCCCTAGAACTGTTAAACTTTTAAAGTACTTGTATATGAAAACCTTCAGATTTTTGTTTGAGAAAAGTAACCAAATAAAGTTTGTTGCGTTAACCATGTTCCTTATTTAGGCTCATTTGCCTAGTCATTGTGGATATAACCAACCCCAACAATGGAATGTAGCATTTCCATAGAAACGTATGTCGCGGAAGTCTTAAAACCGTTTATTAAACAATTATTCGAGTCAGTTAATTAATGTGGGAGACTATAACATAAAATCATTTGCATGACTGAACATTGTCCGAATGTTTAACATCGCAATAAAAATATATTTCATTCAAAGGAAGGCGAATCATATAACCGACAAAATAAATCATGCTTTTTACCGCGAGTGCTTTCTTATACATTCTTACAGAAATTGTAGCAAGTACCAGTGGGTTAGACTGTTATCAATATACCCCATTCGCGGTTAGAAACTCAAAAGACGGTACGATTTTGAGACAAACAATTTCGGGCATAACGACAAAATCGTGTAAAGACGACGAAAGGTGCTCTAGACTACATATAACAGACACGGCAAATGAAACATACACAGCCTTGGACTGTCTCGATCGAAGCGTCTGCGAAAATTCAGAATCATGGTGCCACGGCTTGCCAAATGGACTATTCACGTCGTGTGAAATATCTTGTTGCGATGGCAATTTATGCGCCGAATTGAACAAGACGAAACAATTTGTGAAGACGAAAATTTCGAATATACAAAGAGCGTCGTGTGCTATATTCACCCCTTTTCGGGTCAACATCGAATCTAAAGAAGTCGTGGAAATATACAGTCAAATGAAGACTACAATTTGTGAGTTGGACGAGATATGCGGTGGTGTGATTTTGACAGATAGAAGTAATCGAACTTATCAGGCCTCTGCTTGTGTCAGCCATCATCATTGTAAGAATCCGGATGTGTTTTGTAACGCGTTAACTCTGGGGACAAACGGAACATTTGTTCATTGTGAACTAAGATGTTGTGCCCAAAGCTTTTGCTTAGAAAATCAGACATTACACAGAACACCTCGAAAGTGCTTCGAATACAAAACGTTTTCCTTGGCCGATGACGAGGTGAGGATACCCCACGATACCAAAACAAGAACTAAAACGTGCAACGAAGACGAAGTGTGTAGCAAAGGCACTTTCGTAGACCGGATGAACAACACTCATATTTCCCTCGACTGTTTGCCAAAGACTGTATGCGACAACCCAAATATACTCTGTCAATATTTTACCCCGAGCAACCAGAAGTCACCATTCGTACGGTGTGACGTGGAGTGCTGTTTGGGCAACCTGTGTTATTCGGAATCAATCCTACAGTCATCGCAAACGCGATCACCGTTGGCATCAAAAACACAATCATCAACAACGCCAACATCAGAAATACTCCCATCGAATGTACAATCTTCAGCAAACTCAAAAACACAACCACAAAGTACACAGTCGCCTACGGTCGCCAAGCCCAGCGGTTGTACAAAAGTAGGAAATAGTATCCTCACTGTACTGAGCTTAACTATATTATATCGCATATGCCTAAGCGTTTAAATACTTTAGTTCATGCAGAGCATGGAACTCCTCCAACACGAGAAGCTAGACTTTTCACAGAGAGCGTATTTTGAAACATACCTGTAGTAAATCTTATAGTTACGTATTTATTGATGTGTCAATTTCGCCCCCCCTGTCTATCACAGGGGGGAATCGAGGCCAGAATATTATATCAAGATCGACAGAAGCTTGATATGTCCTCCGTTTAAAAGATCAAGCATCAATCAACATCACCTCTACGGATCGACAGTGGAAATGATTGTTGACCGGTCATTTAATCGATAATTCGCTTGGCCTTTATATAAACACCTCAAATTTTACTTCCCTTTGATCAACCTTATTTATGCTATGGTAGCAAACCTTGTGTATGGTAATCCAAACTGTATTACTGCCATACTTCGTAACTTGGCGAAAGGGTTTTTTAATTATTTTAATTTTTTTATCAAGGTTTCATCAAGGTTTTTTAATTAATTTAATAAATTGAAATACGCTAAAGGGGGATCAGGAAAATTCAGATTATTGAGCCCTCGCAGTTTAATAATAATCGTAGAGATGATTTCAGATAAAAAATATTCTGTGGTTTATTTGAGGGCATAAATAAGCAAGTGAAGAATATAGGAATGGACCTTGAATAGGTTATGCTACTTTGTGAAACATTCGATTGCTTTGATTTTCCCGTCTCAAACTTTAAGGGCCTGTTTTAACTTTTCGCTCATCTTTGGATAAATGGCAAAAAGCGAATAGTTGTGAAAGCTATGATGCATAAGTTGTCTCATTTAAACAACTGCAACTCTCGTTCACATGAATTTATCAAAAGGTGAAAATCGCATCTACAGTGTAAATCCGAAGCAAAAATTGCATGGATAAATGGGTCTTTATATATGTACGGGCATTGCACAAATTTACTGTGTACATGCCCTTTTTTTTAAAAGAAGCGGAAAGAAAGAGGCAAAAACTCACCGCTTGAAAAACGTGGGAGAACTTCACCATCTCTCCGGGGAGCGTAGAGCCTCCAGTGTTTCTTTCCTTCTAACTGCAGTACGAACGCCTCGATATCATCATAATGAGGTGCAAAACCTTGGCTGTTAGGAGGTGTAAGATATCTACAGGGTGTATAAAGACCTGGTTACATGGGGCAATTTCCTTGCAACTTGCAATTCTGCTTTCAAGAGATGTAAATTAGCAGACTTCAAAATGTAAGTGCGAGAGACGTATATTAGTTGGCAAATTTACATCTCGTAAAAGTAGAATTATTGTTGTTACTTTATTACTTACACATTCGCTCCGACAAATGAGCCAAAGTATTCTTGTAAAGTTGCGTTAAGTTTCCACACAGAGTCTGAAAATGTTTGAGGGTTGAGCAAACGAACAGAGCAACCATTCTAGAGAAGGATAAAAATTGTGACTGGTCTGGAAGGGTAGCAGAAGGGGAGGGTGGTTGCAGGTGTGGTGCAGTTCCTCCATACTTTTTAAAAAGATCAATATGTGCCCCCCTTTTTTGTTATGCCTCCCCACCACCACTTTTTAGATGGTTCAGCAGCCCTGGTTGGTTTGAATTTACCATGGCATCATGATCACTGCCAGCTTTATACAGACATTTTATTGCATTACTAACAGCTTTGATCCCCTCACTGACTTACCTGATAAAAATCCCAAACGACTGGAGCTAAGGCCCTTCCAGAAGGATTGTGTGTCTCTCTTTGACCATCCTTATACGAAGTAACATCAAGGTTTACAGAAAATTGCACATTATTCTGAAGAAAAATAAGTAAAGGCATCAATATTAAGGCACATTTGCTGTAGGTTTTATCCTTACAGAGATTTGTACAGCGTTTACCATTCAATATACAAATACATGGTGATCTCTTGGTCATATTTCAGCCAATTAATGTTCTGAAGGGTTGTCAAAAGAGAAATTCTGTTCTACAGTATTTAATCGATTATATCTGTTTAGTTATGAGAACTATGGCTCTGGGATGAATTTGAAACCAAAATATAGTTTATTTCAAAAGATATTAAACTGGGGTTCGTTGTACGAAGGCTGGATAGTGCTATCCACTGGATAGTGATATTTTCATCCATTCTAAAAATGCTCGAAAAGCAATAAAATTTGACCTGTGGGACCAACAGTTAATAAAGAGTATCCTCAATTTAAGAATACTAAGCAATTGAAAAAACCACTAGCCAGTGGATATAGTGCTATCTGGCTTTCATAACTGGCCTAGTTGTTTGTTAAAGGTGGGTTATACAGTCGGTAATGTAAGAAAATGTTTTGTTTTATTTAAACATGCAAAATTTGGGCATTTTCTAAGTCATGGAGTCCCCCAATGTTATCAACAGAACTGATGTGCACAGAAGCCACTGTAACCCTTCTTTACAAACCAAGAAGTTGAGTTTTATTTGACAATTAATCTAAGTCCTCTCCAGCAATTGAGGATTCACTAGATAGTAGATATATCACCAAATTGCATATGCATTGCAGATTCACTAGATAGTAGATATATTACCAAATTGCATATACATATGAGCTCAATGCTTCTAAGTACCTACACATATATAGGCAGGGGAGGGGTTTTTTATTGTTATGCCTATGTGCATAGGTCTAAAAATAATGATCACTGAAATTTGTAAACAAAAAATTTTTACCTGCCGCAATATCCTATCCAAATCATCAGCTCTAAAAATGCCATCATAGTAATCTTCAGCATGTCTTTTGAGCAAGAGTGGTTTATTCTCCCAAAGGTCACTAAAATAAAAAGGTTGTTTTAACCAATGCATTCTATGCACAGACTAGCAAAAATACTATAACTACTTTTCTAGCCAGGGCTCATTAAAATACATAAAGCTTACTTATTATATTAAATAGTTGGTTAGTCAGAAAATAATTTTATTTTACTATTTTTAGGAATCCCAATATATTATGGGCCCATATATACCTTTAATCCCCAATTCAAATCTGTATCTCAGAATACCTGAAAAATTTCTCAGTTTTAACAGGGCTAATTAGCCACTCAAAGGTCTTTCTTGGCAGTTCAGCAACATCATTTTCTGAGTTAACTTTGCATAAAAATCCAGTTGAGGTCATTTCCTTTGTTTTAACATTGATACCTGGTGACATGTCTAGTGTATCCCTCCTCATCCTCATGTTATCCTTATCAGAGTCTGTTCCTGATATTTCACCATTTTCATTCACTATTTTCTTCCTGTCCTTCCTTTTTTTATGCAAACCAATGTTTCCTATACTCTGTCGAAGCTTTGAAGCTCTGGACAACTGCTTACTTTTGCCTGTTTTGTTATTTTTGCCACCTTCCACAGAGGACTCTACAAGTCTTGCTTTTTTCCCTCCTGGCATGTTATTACTGGCTATTTCGTTTTCATTTTTATCAATTTTTGCTGATTTCACATCCTCATGGTCACTCTGAGACTGAGTGTCTTCTGTGTGCAAATTTGCACCGCTTTCGGACATTCTTCCTTGCATTTTATACACACTGAACGCAGATCTTCGCTTGCCAGACATTTCTATAATAAATTTCTTTCTCCCTGAAAAGTTTTGATCGCTTTTATTTGCAAAAAAAACGATTTAGTGAACAGTTTTATTTAATATATTCTTCACGAGACAAAATCAAACTTTGCCGCGAATTGCCGACAAATTACGACCCATCACGAATTCAACCCGAATGTGAGACTTGGGGAGTCGTGGGTAGAATGGGGCTTATGGAGCTCATAATTTGAAACTTTATTTAAACTTTTTTGTTTTTTAAAGGAAATGAAAATTTAGTTTATTTCATCCACCAAAGAAATAGCCTTCCTTCATTCAATGTGTATTCATTAAATGTGTATTCAGGTGATTGCTCTGATGAAGGCCCGGGTTAACCGACCGAAAGCTTTGCAGTATTAAATACTTACGTGGTGTACCTACAAGCTAAATTACTTATCGACTGTCAACATGCAAACATACAAGAATAATTTTTTATTATTATTGCGTTGTTAAAACACACTGATCGGCCCCCCAGCTAAAAATAGTAATGTTTTCACGTTGGAGTTTTTCTAAAAAAGGCTCCCACCCCCTCCCGCTGGTACGGCACAGCAGCGACTACAAATACTGAAAATTCTCTCGTATTCATGTGAACAGAGCGTCAAAATGACGCCAGTGGCAATAAAAATAGCACCATACAAGCAATTATTATGTATTTAAATGAAAAAAAAAGAAAAAGAACTTTACATTGACTGGTGACGATAATTATGTAGTGATAGTTATACTTTTAATGGCAGCTAAATATGCTTATAAATATAACGAAGCTAATTACATAACACTATTTTATGTCGAAGTCTAAACTGTGTTGAAAAAACCGGCTGAGTTTAGAGGAAACTTGAATTACTGGTGATTAATAAGGTCCGGCTTGTCCGACACTGTTTCGTTTCAAGAATTCACGCTTCCTGTGGAAAAGAGAAATATAGAAAGTTGTACTTGTGTTCTTTAACGCACGCACACACACTCACGCACGCACGCACGCACACACTCACACACGCACGCACGCTCGGGACCCAACACAAACAAATATTACATTTTAAACAAATATTATGTTGGTTATAGGCCTGGACGGCCTTTTCTGATGTTGCTTGAAGGGGCAACCCTGTGACCTTTCTTGGATTTGGGAGATTTGCAATCTCCCTAGAGAACCCACCACCCCTCCGATGTTGAACTAAACAAAATTGACTGGAAATGATATCCCATCCAACTACTCTGAACTGCAATTCAACGAAAAGGAAATGCGTTTTGAACCAACCCATTTGAGTACATTTTTCTGGAAGTCATACTTCATGTAAAATAGTAAAAAATAAACCCTATTCACTGGAGGTAGCCAGTGTTAATGCATTCCGATTGCATGGGTAGTGAAAATTAAACAAATTTTCTGATTGTTCCAAAACGAAATTCCTACTTTTTCTGTCATTCTGAACCCTTCCATACGATCACCTAGTAATCACTTATAGCGGCGGCTTATCTCGCGGGGTTAAACCCCTCCTCGCTTCCCACAAAAATGCCTCTTTCCGCTCCCAACACGTGAGCGGATAATTGATTTTTTGTCATGCGAGGGAAAAGGGGGGAGGGGGACGGTAGAATATTTCATTTAGACAAAAATACAATTTGCTGAGCGTCAATATCATTATTAATTACCTTTGTGCTTCGTTTTCGCGGCGCTTTATGAGGTAATCTAAAAATCCATTAAGCCTAGGAGAGACAAAAGAAATCGACTCAATCTTCACAGTTTTATAAAAACCAGAATATCAATCATACTTGAACGGTTGAACCTGATCTTTACTCTTATCATAAAGATTATGCCCACAACCTGCGCGCATGCGCGAATTATATTTCTAAAATATCCAACTTGCCGCATGCGCAGACGTTGCAAGCCTTTCCCAGTAACTGGAGGTAATTTTTAGTTATTCTACACAAAGACTGGAATAACTCTTAAATACTTTTTCCAAATAAATATTAAAGACGTTTCGAATACACTTAGTAGTCACCTACAACGGCTTATCTAGCGGGGTGAAACGCCTCCTCGCTCCCCACAAAAATGCTTCTTTTCACTCGTTGCACGTGAGCGGGTCATTGAATTTTTTGTGATCGAGGGAATAGGGAGTGGGGCAAAATATTCAGTTCTTTGAGACAAAAATGCAATTTGCTGAGCGTCAATATAATCAGTATTAATTACCTTTGTTCTTCGTTTTCGCGCTTTTTGAGGTCATCTAAAAACGCATTAAGCCTAGGAGAAACAAAAAAAATCGACTCAATCTTCACAATACTATAACAATCTGAATATTAATCAGCTTGAACCTGATCTTTACTCTTATCTTGAAGATTATGTCCACAACCTCCACGCATGCGCGAATTATATTTCTAAAATATCCCTTTCTTACCCTGAGGTAGTTATTTTAAACAAAGACTGAATAACTTCTAATTACTTTTTCGACGAAAGGTTGAAGACGTTTCGTAATCTGTATATTACCTTTTTAAATTTCCCGGCAAAGTACAGAACATATTACCCTGACACCTATGAACTCCGTCTGCTGCTCTTTTACAATCATAATAAGGGCAACAATTAGTTGGGAGAATATCATCCCCAATCCTCGGCGTACATTGTTTGCCGCAATCTTTAACGCACGGGTCTCCGGCTCTAAATGAACAAAAAACTTCAATTGGCAATCGTGCTGTGCATTTAACTACATTGTAATTGGTATAAATGTTTCAAATAAAATATTATAAACCTTATGTACATCGTTCACGTGTTTAGGAAATATTCACGCTTTGTGCACGTGATGATAGCAATCGTGATAACGGTATTTAGTGGTGATCAACATGATGCGCGTATGTTTTAAATCAATTTCTACAAGATGTGATATATATATATATATATTTTTTTTTGGCCTGTTTCCTACTTTTTAAACTAGCTGAAGATTTTAGTATAGAAGAAAAAGTCCCGTCCGTACAGAAAAAATAATATTACAAATACGGGAAACAATTATCAAAATTACACCTACGTTAGTGGTGGTCATTATGTTGGATATTGGTAGAGGTAGTGGTGGACGAGTAAATTGGAGCAATGGTGATTATAGCGGACTTACTGAGATATAGCTACCAGAGACAAAACCACCAACGCGGCAAAAAGATTAGACATGATTTTCTTTGATCAAATTACTTGGAAGGTCTATTAAAAATAATCGGTAATTACATTTAGTGAACTTATTGGAGATCTTCAGTGCTGAGTCACGCGAATATCTTCAAGTGCATCATTTTTCAACTATAAATCAATAAAATGTACTTCGTATGAACAAATTCGGTCAAACGCACAGCTTGCTATAATCCCCTTTGTGCTTGGTCAAATTATTAATTCGAATAAAATCGTTTACGCGGCAAGGTTTCAAGGCATTAGATAATAGCCGATAAGCAGTAATTAATCTATAAACGTTGTATCGTTGTTCTCTGCATACGGTATATTTGATAAAAAGATGCATAGCAGTGATAGTACTGATGCATTAACGATACGGGTTCTTCAATTGAAAACATATTTTTCAGTGAATTATTACATCAAACGTTACCTCGTTAGGCGGCAACAATCGAAACAACAATTATCATAAACAAACTTTCAAAACACCTCAGCCCTCTGTATCGAAAACTCGAAATAGTTCCGAACAATCTAGCCTACGACTGTTGTAAAGTTGCTATAGTATACTAGTCATACCATCAGTCCATCATATCTATAAATAATTTATTTTTATTTTCTTGATGTATATTAGAGTAAGGTGGAAGTGTTATTCCTAAACATACAGTAAAGTTACAATTCGATAGGATATTCGGCAGTAATCTTATGAAGTTGTAGGGTGCGTCTTACACAGTCATTTTCCCGGTACACAATGATCTGTGGCTGTGAAACAAATTTTGAACTCTGTCACGAAATTAAATCACTTGAATTTGACTTTTCCCAATTACTTGGTAGGTGAACTTTCGTTCTTGATAATTATTCATAAAATAAGTCGTAATAGGAAAGAGCTACGCATGTATAATTATACCTCCTACAAAGAATTTGCCTTATGAGCGCAGAACGCCAACATATATTCCACGCTATACAAATATAGCTATCAGTGGAGAATATTCCAAACTGACCCATAACGTTTGTCACATACACTGGAGTGTTTGCCACATACACTGGAGAAATATCTCCTAAACAAACAGCCGTTTTTGAAAACACTCACTTGCGTTGAGTGACGAGAAGAAAACTGAATTGAGAATTGAAACCACTGAAAACTGACCTTGTACGATCAAATTTACACGAAAGCGTCTATATACCTTCAAAAGTTTTGCACATGCATCATCGACTTCAAACAATGTCGGTCTTTCGAATTGTGGATCAAATGTGTCATGCTCCGCGGATCACATACCAATCTTACAATCACCTCTACAGGTGACAGCAATTTTCATTAGCAAACTTTCAAAAGGCCTCTTGTCATGTGTATCGAAAATTCGAAATGTTTCCGAGCTAATTTGGCTCGCGCATGTGGTAAAGCTCTGCTGGCGATTTTCGAACATCTCTTCAGGCCTAGCTTATACGTCGCATTTTGGTCGCGTCGAAAAAAAGGCCTACTGATTTGTATGACGATTAATATTATCATACATCTGGGAATTTCCTAGCTACTTAATACTTCAAATCATTGAAACCTAGGTTGGCCGTATTGAATGCAAATCGAAGAATAAGGACCTGTTTACGTGGAGCGAGTTATCCCGGCTAGGCGAGGTGAAGACAGCCTAATTCATAATGAAAGACTAATCAGGTTGGGCCTTTGATGTGATTCGCTTTTTACCTCGCCTAGCCGGGATAACTGCTCTGTTTAAACAGGCCCTAAATGAGATAGAAACGAAAATTTACAAAATCAATCATTACGATGTGACAGAGATTTTCCACTCAGACTTTCAACCAATTTAACGTGTTATAATTAGATGTTGATTGTAGCCGCTAATAAACGCCCTAATGCGAGGCTAGCTCCTGTATTCAAAACGTTTATTTGAGCGTGACATGGGAATTGTGTTATTACCAACCAAAAGGAGAGTCTTTTATAGATTGCTGTAAAGATTTACGGTAGAAATTGCTGAATCATGTCCTTATCTGAATGGAAACACAATCATGAAATCGTTACAAGTCCGTCGGCTCAAACACTGTGTGCATGTAACATAATTAATCGAAATTCCCTTACCTCTGTCAGTTTGCACTTTGCAATGTCCCACTCGTTCTGTGACTGTGTCTGCCGCAAAGTGCAAACTGCGAGCGCTTTTGTTGGCAATTTGTAAGCCGCCAACGCGTTGGTTCTTTCTGGCATCCGATTGGTCAATTAGAAAGGAATTTCCGTTGGGAAATCAGTAATTTATTAATGAGATGGTATCGGCATAACATTTATTTGCATCTGTTCGTTTTGACAAGTTACAAATGTACGCTCTTTATTTTTAGAAGTTTGTCTTTGCTGGTAAAGTACAACACTACAGTAAATGCTACCTGTTAGAATTAAAAATATCAGATGAGATTTTGATGAACGACAGTTCGCTGTTTACATAACTGTCATATTCAAAAGAACGTGGTGGTGAACCGTTACCCCGGTGGGAGGAAAGTTTCCAGAAGAGCAAGATTTAATTATATTAAATCATTCTTTGTCCTTGTAATATATTTTTATCTTTTGATTTGCAAGACAATTACGAGTTCATGGGTCAGTGATACAGTTAATTATGTTATTATTTCAACGAGATTAGGAACATAAAACTTTGTCACGAAAACAGACTAGTGTTGTGCCCAGGTTATTTTTCACATATTTGAGTATTTGTGAGAATGAACGCAGACAGCAAAGATTTAAGTCCAATAATAAATCAAATGCTATATTTATGGTGATTTAAAGTTATCGTAAACTCAATTTTACCTTTAGTTCCCCTTAAGTTCCCCTTAAGGCATTAAGCACTGGGTTCATCAAAAGGCCTTTTCAGCAGTTGTATGCAATTACTGAATTAAAATTTATCTTATTTCAAATCACATGGTCTCAAATGATTAAGTTTTATTGCCTATTCCATAGTCACAACATCTGAAATGGTTAATTTGCATGCAAGCTGAAATGGTCTATAGGCCTTTCCCAAGATGTATTCCCAGGTATTTAAGCGGTTTTGAAAATTTCATTTCTCTTAACCTTGCCCGTTTGTTATGCTTATTATCACTTAGTTAGCAATCTCTCCTGAAAAGAAAAGAGCTACGCAAGTATACCTACAAGGAATTTGTTAAATCAAGCATCTTATAAACAATCCTGGTTATCCTGCCCCCCAACCGCTTCAACTCCGCGTCTTCGCGTCAATTTAAAGAATTTGTCTGGACTTAAAAAAATTGTTCGGTTTAGTGTCAAGGCTAATCTCATGCAACCAACTGGCGTAGGTGAATTACCATGTTTATAGTGACTAGTGTTAAACTTTCAATATAGCAAAATTCCTGAATCCTAAAAAAGCTCCAAATAGTTTGTCTTTATGCCATTTGTGCCTACATACCCAAGTCTATGTACATGGCTATTAAGGTGCATTTTTTAATACTGATCTATGAAGTGTCTCAGATGCACTGGAGAGTTCCCTTAAACAGGGTAATTAATTAATCTTATAACAACAGGAAAGCTAGATTATATTTGCTTGTGTTTAACGATGCGGAATTAAGTGACACGTACAAACTAGTTTTATTAAGATATTTTGCCAATTTTTCTGCACACGACAGATTGAATAGAAGAAGAAAACTGAATTAAAAACAGTAAAATTAAACATAATTTAAAACTGTCGGTCCAGATCTCTTTAATGTGTAGAGTCGCTATGACCTTGTACGATTAAAACTATATGACTGTGTTTGTTTATGTGCGTAGGTTTTGCATGATAAATGACTCCAAACAATTTCGTCTTTTGTGTTATTGAATCAAAAGCTTCATGCTTTGCGGTTCACATACCAATCTTACAAACACCTCAATATGTGGCAACAATTTTCATCAACAAACTTTGAAAAGGTTTTTTGTGTACCGAAAATTCGAAATGTTTCTGAGCTAATCTTGGCTCACGCGTGGGGCAAATCGTGCTGGTGGTACACACCTCCTGGCTAGTCATACTGCGAATCCTTGCGAAATGCTGAAGAGTGAAGATTCCAATACGTGTATGACGATAAATATTATCACCCATCTGAATTTTGAGATTTAGCTAATGCTACATCTTAACCTGATGTTTGCCCTGATTTCAAACCGCGAGGCAGGCTCATGTGGCATTCGCGTCCTCGCAAGCGTGAAATAACGCTCTAAACCTCTAATCTAAAACTAACACCAGCATTCAGAACGACCATTTACACTCAATGAGTTCGAAGGGGAAATTGCTTTAGATGACCAATCAAAGAGGGCCGGTCTTTCCTCAGGTTAAAACATGCAAATCAAGATTCAGGATAAAACATGCAAGTCAAGCTTATGTATTCGACTAGAAACACCGTTATGAAGTCACTACGCGTTTACTGGAACCTCATCCATACAAAGAACCTAAATATGCTTTCAGAATATTCCAATTGCAACCTAGCTGTTAAAAATTAATCGATATTTTCTTACCTTTCTCAATTTTCACTTTGCGATCTCCCACTCGACCTGTAACTGTGTCTGCCGCAAAATGCAAACTGCGAGCACTTTTGTTGGCAATCTGAAAGCAGCCAAAGCCATCCGATTGGTCAGATTTTTTTCAATCTCTCAAGACTATCCATCATTTATTAAATGAGATGCTAATTACCGCCAATTTGTACAAAGTATATAGCGCTAATTGTTACATCTGTTCGATTGGGCATGTTAAAAAATAATTTTTTTAACTCAAAAGTAGTTTAAGGGTAATCTAGCTTATTATGTTTATTACTACAGAAAGACGTTACAGTAAAATATACTGTTAAAATAAAAAAATATAGATTAAGAAATTTGGGAGTTTGTAATTTACATAACTGTCTTTTTTGAAAGGAATGAGGTGAACCGTTAACCCGGTGGGAGAAAAGGACCCAGAAAGGAAGAAGTTGGAATGCTTTAGAATATTCCTGTCTTTGTGATATATTTTTATATTTCCGATTGAGTCAATTAACATGCAATGCATGGACCAGTGAATCAATTAATTGTGTGATGACATAAGTAAACTCGAGATAAGTAAGAAACTGGACTTCGTGTGTCACGAAAACGCACTAGCTTTGATAGATTTCATAGATTTACTTATCAGACTTACAATCAGTTACATAAATACGTAGTTAGCACAAGACTCAATGGGTAAATACCAACATTGCTCTAATGCCAAAATCAAATGCCAAAATCAAATGCCATTATTGAAATGATGCCCTGTGTAGGCGTTGTTCGAGACGAGTCAAGACGCACGAACCTATTAAGTACAGAGTAATTAAAAAAGCTGGGTGTCTTCGTTTTATAGGTGAAATAGTCAATTATGAAATGATTTCTAATCAGAGATAAGGAGACTGCAATAACGTGCGTTGAGTCTCATTTAAAACAGATGACTATGCTGGAATAGGAATAAAGAACAAAGATGTTGGTCTGAAAATACATGAATATGATAAATTCATGTCGTGCATTCATTATTACATGATATTACGTAGCTAGGACAGACTTCATGCGATTATTTAATTCCGACATATGGCTATCTTCAAATGCCATTATTGCAATTTTTCATGTGTAGGAGTTGATTGAGACTCGACTCGCGAATTTTTGGCATTTTTCTTTGGGCAAAGTGCAGGGCAAGTAAAAAAAGCTTTTTTCCTATTCATATGCAAATTTGCTGCAAATTAACTGCTGTAATTTGATAGAAATTTGGTGAGAGACGTCAGATAATTATGACCGACCCTACAGAATAATAATAAGCGAAGCACAGAATAGTAATGATGACATCAGATAATTATGACCGACGGTACAGAATAATAATAAGCGAAGCACAGAATAGTAATGATGACATCAGATAATTTTGACCGACGGTACAGAATAATAATAAGCGAAGCACAGAATAGTAATGAGAGACGTCAGAATAATTATGGCGACCGAGACAATCATGGGTATAACACCAAGTACCCCGCTGCCGCCGCTATTTAAAAATATATTCGTGCAAGAATATCCAGGGCATTTTATATATAGCTATCGAGTGTAGAACTATATAGGCATCAATCGGTTCCCCGCTTCAAATATAAAAAACAGGCATTTTAAGGCCCTGTTACACGGTGCAACTTTTCTTGCGACTTGCAGTGCAATTCTACTTTTGAGAGATGTATATTTGGGAGCAACGAAACTTTCGTGTTTATTACACTTCATGCACTTTTCTTCTGCAAGACTCTTCACTAATTTACATCTCTTAGAAGTAGAATTGCATTGCAAGTTGCAAGAAAAATTGAACCGCGTAAAAGCCATGTTACACGGTGCAATTTGAGATATAAATTAGTGAAGAGTCTTCAAAATCATAGTTCAAAATGCAAGCGTATCAAAGAAACACCTTGGAGTAAAGACAAAAATTTGGTAGTTGCGAGATTTACATCTTTCAAAAGAAGAATTGCATTGCAAGTCGCAGGAAAAATCGCACCGTGTGACAGGGCCTTAACATGACCTTTATCAACGAGAGTATCAAAAAGATATGTTTAAAACTGTAGGACTGATATGTGAACAGCATCGAACTATCGAAGTGTCAATCATGCTAATTAATTTGAAGTATTAATTAAAGACACGATAGTGCAAAATTTGAGGGCTTCGTTGTTTATTAAACATACTTTTGAAGGACACGCAGCAACATATATAAAGTCGAAATCAAAGACACTGACACAGTGAAGTATATAGGTATGAATATTGCTCTTTTTACTTTATTTTTCTAAATTGCATGATTAACACACATACGAATTGCACATGCAGAAGCAACCCACGAGAGACCTACCACGAAAGCCAGTTGTAGCTAGAGTAGCAATTATGCACATCTTTGGTCGCCCATAAGCCTCGTTGCACAGGAAGAGCTTCGATTAACATATATCTCAGAAAAAATATACTGGGGCAGGTTGTATCAAGCCCGTTTAGCTTACTTAAACGGTGGATAAGTCAAAATTAAAGAACACTCTTACATCTCTTTCGAATGAATCAACTTGAATATTATGCACTGAATATGTAGTTGTAAACCGTATTTTTGTATTAAGGTTAAAATTAAAACATTTACGCCTGTATTCTAAAAGCTCACTCACACTCAAACTCATTTAGTGGGAGATCTTAATTTTCTCATAACCTTTCCATGGCGGTATTTCTAGCCGAATAGGAGCTTGATTCTCAGTGATTTACCTTATATCTTTCCATCTATTCAGAGAAAACTTTCTCATTCATCAGCATTAAAAAAAATTATATGTCACACTCAATGAGTGTGAGTGAGCTTTTTGAATACAGGTCTTACGCCTGTATTCTAAAAGCTCACTCACACTCAAACTCATTGAGTGGGAGATCTTAATCTTCTCATAACGTTTCAATGGCGGTATTTTCGGCCGAACAGGGGCTTGATTTTCAGTGATTTACCTTATATCTTTCCATCTATTCAGAGAGAACTTTCTCATTGATCAGCATTAACGAAATTTATATGTCACACTCGATGAGTATGAGTGTGAGTGAGCTTTTTGAATACAGGCGTTAGTTTGCTTGTTGAATAAAACGATAGACTTGCTTCCTATTTTGAACTTAACCACCGTTTAAGCTTAAACGGGCTTGATACAACCGGCGCCAGGGATGTAGTTACTAGTTAATGTTAGTAAGAATACACAGTTGTTCAGTTGTTGTGCGCTCCAGAACTGTGCGTTATTATATATGCAAATTTTGCAGGCAATTTACATCTCTATAAGCATAAAGTCATTGGCAAACTTCCATCATAGCTGGAACTGTAGCAAAAGCCCGCACTGATAAGCGATCTGTAAGCGATCATTTTATAAGGTGATGAGAATTTTTTAATATGGATACTTTAATTGAATTCGTAAAACCAGACTTTCATTAAACAGCACCTTCCGAAATTATTTTTAATGATTGCAATCATGCTGTCTAAACTTTATTACAAATACTATCTGTGCAATACGCAATCAAACGAATAGAACGCTACTGTCTTTGACTTTGTCAATGAAGAATGACCGACTGAAAATGGAAGAATTCCGAGACCAACTAAGATTGTCCGTAAAAATTATATGCTCCCTAATTGCCATCTTTACGATTCTTGGAAATACTTTGGTTTTGGTTGCGACATGGAGAGAAAATCTTCACCATGCAGGCAAATACATGATTCATTGCCTGGCAGTGCCTGGCGGCCGCCGATCTTTTGGCGGAAATTTTCGTTGCACCTTTAAAGCTATTGGTCAGAGAACAGTTGTCGATCCATCTCTATCGTTCAATTCCTTCACCTGGACCCGTTTTCAGTATCAATCTCTTCTACACTCACGGTCATCATCATCTCAAAATCAGCAGGCCGCTTCAGTATAAACGCAAGTGACAACATCCAAATCGCTGAAAGTAATTTTTATCAGTTGCGTCTGAAAAAAAATGCTGCGAAATGGCGAACTGCATGGGTAAAACCTCCGGTAATCTAAACCAAAAAACTCGTTTCATCAAAGCATGCATGAAAGTGATTTGCATCGTTTTGGCTTTTCATCTTTTGCATGGGGTCCGTGGTTTGTCTGGGGACGGTTGTATATTAATCCTCCGCAAGGGAAATTATGTTAGAAATAAGAGTATTCATTCGTTTGTATAGAAACACTGATAGCCTATAATCTATTTGTATGCAGATTTCTATCAGGCCTATTTGGTTAAAAAAATTACTGTAAACAGACCAATTAGTGTAAATCACAAGCCAAAAACACAGCCCTTTTTGAGGTATAGAATAGTACCTAACAATCTGATTAATATGCATCTTGCAGTCGGTAGAGATAATGATAATATAGATATATCGTAGATATCATTACAGCTGTTCCGGGACCAGATGTTACCTAAATCATGCAATAAGCGTTTGTGACAAAATTTTACATCAGCAGCAGTATAAATTATATATATACTGTGGCTGATATATGACATACACTTGTATAAAGATATTCCATCGACAGAAAGAACTTGGATGCTGTAAAAACTCTAGGATCAAACTGTTATCCGCAGCCAAAAATCGATAGATAAAATTATCGGTAGATAAAACTAAGTTTGACATGTCGTCCTATGCACGTCTGATAACTGATGCTTATTTTCATGAGGGCCACTATGTACACAAACAATATATATGTAACAGATAAATAGCTCTCGTGATGGGACAACGCCATTGCCTATGTAATTATTTATTTCGCCCATGCAGATATAACAACAATACATTATTTACCAGATTCTTTAAAATCAGTTGGACAAAAAAAACACGACATAGGAAAATATCGGGGGAAAGAGGTGAAAATAGTTCTAAAGATCCATATATGATATAGGATATATACGAATACAACTGGACGTATATGGGACACATATTATATGAGAGGAAAGATGGCACAGTACTGCCCGGAATGCATTCATTTTACTTTTGAGATAAGCCATATTAAGTAGGCTTTTGTCGATGAACTGACAACTTGTAAGAGTCTATGCAGAAGGTGAGAAAGTTAAAATCCTTAACAAGATATATGTCTTGATTCAACAAGTATTA